AAGTTGTTTTACATGCCATGCAATATAAGGATATAACAGGGATTCCAGTACCTTACCGAGAATTGATAACAAGGATATCGGTCTATAATTATTTACTTGATTGGGGTCTCCGGATTTAAAAATAGGTATTACTAGGGATGTTTTCCAATATGTGGGGAAAATACCCGTAGAAAGTGATGTATTAAATATATGGTAAAGCGGGGCCGTCAATGCATCAGCACAATTAACGATAAAGTAAGATGGAATACCATCGAAACCTGCTCCTTTACATGGATTGAGACTTTTTAACGCTCTATGTATTTCCTTATGAGACAGAGTTATAGAACTGATAGTCCCAGATGAAGCTTCATGAGCAACATGAGTAGTTGCATTTAAATTGGAAGAGTTTGTACTATAATAGGATAAGAAGTTGGTAGCGAAAAGATTACATATCCCGTCACCACTATTAGCAACTTGATTATCAAGATACATTTGGGAAGGAAACTCAGTACCTTTTTTCCTTTTAGACTGTATGTAGGTGTAAAAAAGCTTCACATTCTTGGATAGAGAAGATTCAAGAAGATCTAAATAATTATTGTAACATTCAGTTTGAAGATGTTCACATCTAGGTCTTAACAACTTAAATGACAAAACGTCGAGAGGATTTCCATACTTCCCTGCCCTGACTCTGTATTTATGTTTTTCTCGCAAAAGTCTAATTAGATTTTTTGAAAACCACACGGGATAACGATTTTTATTAAAATTCTTTTTAGGTACATACATACCAATTAAGACTCGAAGGACTGCATAAAAAGATGCAACCATCTCGTTCACATCTCCACACTTTGAAAATTTATCATCCCAATCTATATTCTGTAAAGCCTCTTGAATTTTACAATAATCAGCCTTAAAAAAAATTATTTCTTAACATAATCTTAGATTCTAGTGACTTACCATTACTAAAATTTATTGAAAATTGTAAAGGAGGGTGGTGACCGTCAATTACACTTAAAATATCATAGCTCGGTCCTAAGTACCTATATACCTATATACCTAAATAGAATTTCGTAAATACTGAAAAATAAATGACGTCGTGTCAAAGCTTCTGAAAATAGTTCATAAATACGAAAGGTTTATGACTACATTCATTAATTAACTTCCTTAAGTTCTAAATATATTTCAAAAAATATAGAAGTATCAGAACAAAAGACTTGTTTAACCAGACAGACGATAAGATATAAGGAAATAAATTGTAAGAAATTATTTTCATACATCTTTTAACACTGAATAATCAATGTTTAAATAAAAAAAAATATATAGGTAACTTACATTGGAAGTTATCTCTTTTATCTTAAAACAAACCAGATTTTTAATAACAATACATTTTTTCTATTTATAATTCATGTGTTTGCTTATTTCATATAAATGTACCTTTATTTTCGCATGATTAATATTTAAATGTAAAAAAAAATATTTTTTTAATTTTAGTCACTACATTTTTTACCAAAAGGATAATTTATTTTCATATATTCACCATATTTTAGCCTCGAAATAGAAGGTGAACTTTAAGATTATATTTAAAATATTTGTTAATTATTTAAATAATAAATATTACATTTAAAGTTAAATTTTTAGATTTTGTATTGTATGTTTATCGATTATTAGTTAAATTATCTGTTTGCGCAGGTTCAAGGAAGTGGTAACATTGGCGTACCGGAAACAAGCACATCTCATATGTTTCACAACCTGCACAAATTCAGCCAGCCATCTTTTGTGAAAAATCATTTGTTTCGTGTCGTCAGGGTAAATTTCATAATTGTAATTAATGTCAGAGCCACAGTCTTCGCTTTTATTAAAAAAGCAATTAGCAGGTAGGTGCACATTAAATTTTTTGAGTATTTTTAGGAATCGTCTCATTAAGAAAGTGAAGCGACATAATTCTTCGTGCAATCATTGACCTTAGCGGGTCAAATTTTAGAATTCTTTGTGGATAAAGAAGCGTGGTAGTTATTTCGGTATATCATTAAATTAATGTAATATTGAACGTCATTGTTAAACAAAGCAAGCTTTGTAAAATCAATACGCATTGCAGTGACAGGCTTTAGGTACCAAAGACAAATAATTGAGGCGTTTTTTATTTGGCAAAGTTTCATTTCTCATTTATATATATAAAGTGTGAAATAGAAGTAGACTTTGTTTTATATGCGATGATTCACTGCGGAGTTTCCTCTTACAGAACTGAACAAAAATCCAGTAGAAGGATTTTCTGCTGGCTTAATAGATGACAATGACATATACAGATGGGAGGTTCTTATTATCGGTCCCCCTGATACATTGTAGTAAGTTTTTCGTTTCATTACCTTGGGCTTGGCGTTTTAATCAATATATTACAATTTCATCATAACAACGAGCTTTTAATTTAATCTTTTCATGAATAATTTGGGTTGGGCTTAGCTACACTGGGCATGATTAAAAACATCTACACAATTTACTATTATATAATGTAAATAAAATACAGCATCCTATTATAACAAAAACAAACTGGTATTCAGAAAAGAGGAAATTTTTATCCAAATTCACATGAAATTCATCTAGCTATTCTGGAAATCCATAGATAAAATTATCTAAGTATAAAAATAAATACTAATGTATGAGACTAGTACTTGAATAAAAGTTGGCTTCCACCAAGTAAAAAGCATAATTTGTCTATAGCTAAAACTGGGGAGTTAGTTTGATTAGAGATACTTTTGAATCATTAGCAAACTCCAAAATATTGATCCATTCAGTTTTCTAGAGATCTTAATTTAGATATCAACTATAATAGAAAAACTTATAAAATAAATTTGTGAAAACAGAGTGAATTTCTAGAAATATCTTATTTTGGTCAGTCTTTGTGATAGATATGCTGTATTTTCCTTGCTAAGTCAATTAAAACAAAGTATTCCATGTCCATTGTGGTTAAGACTACTATTTTTTATATTTTTCATACTAGCAGGATATATAATAACCAGATTCTTTGTTTTAGTGAGGGTGGATTTTTCAAAGCACACTTGCATTTTCCAAAGGAGTATCCTTTAAGACCACCAAGAATGAAATTTGTTACTGAAATATGGCATCCAAACAGTGAGTTATGATCTATTGCAGATTATTTATATTTAAATATTGAATATTATAATGATTTGACTCTTGAATGTGATCTAGTAAAAGTGTATTAATTTTAGTTGAGAAGAACGGAGACGTCTGCATATCAATATTGCATGAACCGGGAGATGACAAGTGGGGTTATGAGAAGGCATCAGAAAGATGGCTGCCAGTACACACTGTTGAAACTATCCTCATAAGTGTAATATCGATGCTCGCTGATCCCAATGATGAGAGTCCTGCCAATGTTGATGCTGCTGTAAGTACAGTTTCTCAGTATGAGTTGCATCATGTATGACAGACTTTATAGGTTTTACAGGTACATATTATTAAATAGAGTAAGTTTTGTTTGCATCACCTAATCAGTAATGTTGTTTTACTTGTATTCTAGTCAATCAATTCACTTGTCATTCTAATCATTCCTTTTGCTTGTTTGGAAAATGTATTATACCACATTTATCACTGAACTGTAAATATAGTCTTGGCGTACACGTATATTATGTCATTAATGTATACTCATATTCATGTTGTTTGTATTCACAGAAAGAATGGAGGGAGAGGTATTCGGATTTCAAAAAGAAAGTTGCCAGATGTGTTAGGAAAAGTCAAGAAGATTGTTTTTAGGAGTGGGGCTATTTTACAGAGGAGTGTTGTGTTGGAAAAGGGCCATCTGACACTATTCAAACAAGACATAATTAATTTTACTTTAGGTTGCACACACTAGCTGATGCTATAAACCATGCCATGCATAGTAGTAGCTGTGAGTTCATTCTCTTTCTTTTTACAGAAGGAATGGAGAGAATCATATTCGGAGTTTAAAAGAAAAGTAGCACAGTGTGTGAGAAAGAGTCAAGAGGATTGTTCTTAAATAACAGTGCCCTTTTTCATTTATTTATTTGGATAGTGAGTGTTTGGTGAAATAGTTTGGCATCTTGCTACTGCAAGATCTCACCATGACTTGTATGTGTATGCGCCCACCCATCTGGGCCAGAGACAATATTAAAATTGATTTAAAATAACTAATTTGTAATGAATGTATTGCTGCAGTATTTTATAAAAACTAAATAAAAAGTAGAACTTGGACATCTTCTTCATCTTTTCTATTACATTTTAATAGCTATTGTTACGATAACAAAATGGTGTACGATATTCTTTTCTACATACAACAAATCTGCATTTGTTCTTTGGTTGGTGATCTCTATCATCTAACCGAAACTATAAAATGTAATCGCTGTAAACTATTATTTAGAATTGTATATCATAGACATGGCTGCATATGAATGGTAAAAAACATTTTTGTATATGTATAAATTTTAGTTACCAATCTATTGCAATGAAACATTGAATATGATTTAAGATTTTGTGATAATTATAACCACAATGTCTTTCTGTAATGCAATGTTAGTAATATTGAAAAACTGATTAATTTCAATGAATAAATGCAAGTTTTGTAACAATTTTTTTTATATTGATTAACCTGACCCATAGATAATTAAAAAGGAACATCATTAAATTATATTGGGTACAATTAAAAATTTAATAGGAACCATCGCTTTAAATATAAGCTAATAAAACATATTAGCTAGCTACTCTCAAAATGATGAATATGTTTTTTTAAGTTTTCAACAAATCCATGGGAATTGTTTATTTCTTATACAATAGCTACTATACTTGAAACGGTTCCTCTGTAGCAGAAATAGTGATGCATCAAAACAAAGATAAATTTGCATAATATGTTAATTAAACCTTAAAATGATTTGTGAAGTGTGTACTATATTTACTGGTCTGTATATTTTTTACTATAAAAACATAATGCCATAAAGAGATATTTTATTTATCCCTTAAATATTAACATAACACAACAGACACTTTAAAATTAATTAGTCGCTATCAGAGTTCTCAGCTAACACTACACCATGAATTATCCTAGGATCAAAAGTGCTCTCAAAGCACCTTTTAAATACTGATGCTATTCTCATTCTGGATGTCGGTGATGCTGGAATGTTATCACAGTTTGTATCTATGGAATTTGCCTTTTCTACATTATTTATATTTTCTCTCACATTCTGTGATATGTTTATATTTCCTCTCAAATTCTGTGATTCATTTATATTTTCCTTTGCATTCTGTGATACAGTTATATTATCTCCCATATTCTGTGATACATCCATATTTTCTCTCTCATTCTGTGATACATTTATATTTTCCCTAGCATTCTGTGATAAATTTACAATTTCCCTCACATTCTGTGACATGTTATTTGGTATATAATTAAACAAATTTGAATCTTCTTGAAACTGATTTGATAGATCTTCATCTAGATGTACCTTTTTAGCAGAGATATTATTATCATTTGAGTTTTCTTTTCTTTTTCGTTCTGAATTCGTTGTGTGTTGAGATGTATATTGAGTTCCTATATCGGGTTTTGATGTAGCTAACACAAAATGTGCCTCAATAGTAGTACCATTATGTACTACAAACACTGCAGGTTTACCAGTAATCTCAAAATGTAGTTGCACAGGTAGATTTAAGCCTTCAGCAAAGCCCAACAATGCTCTGAATTCTTTCAAAGTAAATGTAATATTGGTGTCGGTGCCAATAGTATAACTGCTGAACTCAAATGGTTTAATTGTGACTTGACTTCTAATAATTCTTGAAATGTCTGTAGGGGTATCACCAAAATTTTTAATTATAAGTGATTCACTTGTCACCTCTAGCGTCACTTGATCATCTGAACATTGAAAATTTCCTAAAGCTTCTGAGAGCAGCCTTTGAGATGATGTAATTCTAAAATTTAAAATAATCAATAATAATATTTATATCATTATATAAAATATTTAAAAGAGAACATTTTTATTACCTGTTGGGCACTAAATCTTTTGTGTAAACAGCTTGCATGGCTTTGCAATCCAATATTGACACGTAATGGGTCTTAACGATACCATGCTTACAATTGAGTTGAAATATTAATTTTGAAGAGTGAGGATCAAGTTTAATCTCAAGATTCTCAACCTGTTTATCCATATGTGCGGGGGATTTAAAAGCATTTAGAGCAGATTTCATGGAAATTTTACATTTTAATCCTTCAACATCTACACAATAATAATTGTGATTAAAATGCGAAAAGAAATTTTTGTTTAATTTAACCATTGCATAGGCACTTTCGGAGGCATTGAGTGTTCTCAATAGTATACAATCTGAGAGGGATTCCAAATACAAATCATCACCAAATCTTGCTAAAGCATGAACAGTTCTTGCTAAAACTGAAAACATTACTTTAATATATTGAATTTATGTAATAAAAGTATAAAACAAAATATAAAAAATCAGAACCTTTAACATTCGGACCAGGTACGTGACATTTCATTTTTATTTCACTTAAAAAGTAATCATTATTTTATTAAAAAAATTTAACATTATAATTTTTAGACTAAAGTACAGAATGCTGAAATAAAAGTATGTGTCGTAATATTTTCCAACTTTATTCTTACTTAGTATTAAATTTTTAAATGGAATAACTTTTGACGTTGATATAAAGTAGGCAACAGTTGCTAACAATTAACATTATGTACATATTTTGTTCATTACTAGAGGCATCAATAAACTATTAAGTATATTATCTTATGTCATGTCGCCTTACATAGATACAGACTATTGTGGAGTTTTGTATACATATTCTACTATGTGAAATAAGAAAATTTATATAATAACATTACAAATTGATAATATTTATTATTATATTTTATACAAATATCATCTGAAAACCAAAGGAATTTTGTATTTTATGGACAACGTCACCGGCTATCTTTGTGTTTGAAATTTACATAACAAACTATTTTTCTTTATGGCCGCATGATTGTTTTTGTTAAAGTAACTCGCTTTGAACTAAAAAAATTGTGGGGCTATTTTTGCTTTATTTTTTTAAGAAAGTCAGAAAACATAATATTTAGATCTGGCAACTTCGATTTGAAAAAAAATAGTTGTAGGTCTTGGAACTTAGAGGGTTTGATTTTAATAAGGGTTTGATTACTTTGCCTTGAGGTTTATAATAAAAAAATATGTTTATATAAAGAGGAAGCTAATTTCTTGTTTTACAAGAACAAGTTAAGACCAGAATAAATATAGTTTCTCTAATTTTGCTACAGAGACAAAACTACATACATTATTAGTATCATTTATAATAACATTGGAACGTAATCTTGGCATTTTGTAAAAATTTACTGGGATTATACTTAATAAACGATTTGTAAGGCATGGATCATGATCCATGTATAAACGTAAAAAATATAATAAAAAAGAACCTTAGGAGAATATGACAAAGAAATTAATGTGACATAAATTTATTATTATGCATATTTATTTGCATATAATGGACATCTTATAAGTAAAATGCAATCGCTTGTTATTTAATAAAATTTTAAAATACCTAAGGAGGATTTTTTTGTTGTAATCTTGTTGATCAGTACGATAGGTAGCTAATATATATACACGACCCAACACAGCACAGGCACTGCAGTGGTTGGAGCACAGAGACAGCGATCGTGTTCGAAAAATAGATTATCTTTCGTTATAAAATACAAATAGTAATCGCTCTATTTTATCAGTACTTATCATTAGTAAAAAATAAGGAAATTGCTTACAATTAATAAATTAACAACACTAATCACGATATTGTAATTAACAGGAAATTCCAAACATTTTTTTTCATGTCGTTTCTATTATTAGTTACAAATTAAAGAAAATCCTGAGTATGGACTTAACAGGTTAGTAATACTTTCAATATATATTTGCATTTTTAATGTAAGTTTCGAAAGAACAATTGAAAATCTATCATTAATAAAATACTGGAAGAAAATGTTTTTTAAGTATTTTTTTTTCTTAATTTCAACAGTGTTTCTTGATTTGTTTAAATTTTTAGACCTAAGGTCCTTTTGAAGTATTTTGAGGATAGAAAGTTGTGTGAAAATTTATTCCAACCAATTCATTAATTCTTAGAATAAGAAGTCGAATAAAAATTACAAACTATGTAATGATAATAATGTAGAAAATTATAAATCAATAAATGTCTATTATCTAATATTTAAATCATTAAGTGTGATTAGGAGGTTCAAATTTATTAATATTTGTGATGTAAACTCTGTAAAACTTTTTTTCCTGTTGTAAAGCACATGTTATTAACAAAATCGCAAACAAAATCTAGTATGTAACTACATAAGTTTTTATGTTTGCAAGTAGTCTTTAAATTTTTTATTTCTATTTTTAACTTCACGGTCACATTTTTTTTATGAGAGACTTAATGTTTTTTTCTCAATCTAGTGCTTTTAATATATAAATCTGTGGTTACCAAAAGTTGCTTCATTATTTATGATGACGATAATTATGGTCTTTATTATTCATAATATAAGGTAAAAATTAAAACGTATTTTTCGTAATAGTATTGTACATATTTGGTTGATGTTTTGCTTTTTACTGTGTAAGCATGAGGCTCGAGTTTCCCAGAACATGTTGTATTCTCTATTAGGTTTCCATCTTTTTTTATTTTTCAGTCATAAATCTTTGAAAGACTGACAGCATATTAATAGACGTAAAACTGCCGGTTTATAAGTTTTAATCCAGAATTGTAACGGCTGTAGAATTATAACGTTGCTAGCGTAAAAAAGTTCTTGCAATATAAAAACTAAAGTAAAATTTGTAACTCAATGATTATATAGTTTAAAAACAATTAAAACTTAGAATATTTATTTTTAACTTTTATTATTTAAACTCTCATTACTTCTCTGTTGAATATATTACAATTTAAGTGATTTGAGATCATTTTTTCACGAGACTTTAAAAAAAAAATTAATTATATTAAATACCTTTATTACTACCGAAGAAATTTGTTTATAATTGTTGGAATTGAGTTCCTTTCTAAATAAATAGTTCCATATGAGGTTCGGTCTGTATAAAAAACTTTTTAAAATTGGGATCGTGTTTTAAAAATTCAAAATTTTCTATGCTTTTGTTGGAGAGGTGCCAACCGACCATCAGTCTACAAGAGCCATCTTTTTCCGTACAGTACTCGAAAGGGAATTGACTCTGTCGGTTTTGTGGATAGTAACTGTATTCAGATAAAATCCTAACTCCGCATTCTGAGACGTTGTCCGTCAATTTTTTGATGATACCTGAAAAAAACTCACCTCAATATTATCTCTTCAAAGAAGAGATTAACTTGGAAGGTTGTACTCAAATAGTGAGCAGTGTGTTTAATCTTAGTTAGAATCGTCACCCTAAATACAAATGTCTAACAGTTTTCGATTCATAAACCTTTTCAGAATATAAACGTAGATTATTGAACGAAAAACGGGAAACGGTTAGTATGTAGTGTGACGTTTTAAACTACAACTGTCAGTTACAAAGTAGAGACAGTGTGAATAGAACTGAATGAATTTTAATGTTTTATTGTAAATATTAATTGAGCTTAGTAAAAGTGTCAATTACCGTTACAAGTATCGTCTACCACACGCCTCGGCACTGAGAAATATTGTTGCAATGTGTTATTGAATGTAGGCTTCAAACATAAATAACTATCTTCATAGTACGAGGAACGCCTGGTTATAGGGATAGTCTCGTATTGTATTATTGAATTAAATACACACGGATCTTTCTTCGCAGTAACCTGTATATAAAATTGTTAAAATTATATTAACACGTTCGTACAAGTGGTCCAGTTTACATTATGTAAATGTGTTTGAGACAGAAATAATATTTTTTCGTCGCTAGTTATTTAAATATATTAAATATTTATAACATAGTTTTAAATTGTCAAGGACACTATTAGAGTTTATAATTTTATTTAGTTCCTTTTATTAACAAAAAACTTATTTTATTATCATAAAGAAATAAGATAATTTTTGTAAATATAATGATAAACATCATTTGTTCACGTCACTTAGTACAGACATATGTTTTTTTATCATACCAGTTTGTAATGTTACGGTCTTTTTTTTACAAAAAAATGGAACGTGGCTTAAACCAAGTTTATCGTTTGGGAGACGGGAGTCTCCTTTTATTTCCTTTATTGCACACACATAAAACCTTCTTAAATATCAATATAGTAGGCAGGCAGCATGGCCAAAGATCGTCTATCCAATATTACGAATTAAAAAAATCACCTTATAGGAAGGGTAATTTCTTTAAGCAGTTGGTGAAAATTTAGTTAAAGTTTTAGGGTACTTGTACTCGTCTTACCTCCTGCCCAATACATCTCGGAACTGAGTACAAATCTGTATAAGTGTTAGAGGTTGGTACATTAGGATATTGTATTATTCCATCACATAACGACCAAAACCCATCCCTGATCATGTAAGAATGGAGGGCTCGACCAGTTGACGTCACTGTCAGGGTTGTCACGCCTGATCTAAAATTAGGGTTAGTTAATGTCGAGTTAATGTATGATTTATATAATATTATAACAAAGTAAACTATAATTTCTACTAAAAATAAAATCTAGATAGAATAAGTATAATTTTTGTCTAGTAGTTTTATACTTCTTTACGCAGCATTAGATTTAAAAAAAAATTTAATTCACTGTTTTATTCATTTTAAATGAAGATAAATTTATTCTTACTTGCCATCTACGATAGCTTGCTTCAAAGTCCTTTCTCGCTCCTCTAAATACAAGATTTGTTTTTTCAGGACTGCAGCTAAATTTTTCGCATTATTTAGAGTTTCCTCTAATTTATTTTTAAGATATTTTGGTGATAGGTCATTGTAGCTTTGAATATTGTTCTTCAAATTTGCAACATTTGTTATATAGTTGTAATTAGATGGCAATACTCTTGATTTATCGACTGCAAATGATGTTATGGTATCGTTTTCCGTTTCTGGAATCAACTCCCTGCTAAAAAATGAATTTATTTTAATAATTATTATGAGTATAGTATATTTATAATATTCATTCCAACCAAGTAGCCTTTAGCACAAAGATGTTAAAGTCTCCACAATCGAAAAGTTTGTCCTTAAAGGCTCTAACAAAAATCTCAGATTACATTAATCAAAATTATAACATAATTCATACGATAACTTCAATATTATCAGCTTTAAAATGACTGTCCATATTTTCATGATACAAAGAGAACAAATTACCGATGACGTCAAACACGTTGATTGTAAACAATATTGCTTCAGTACAGGAGAAATATTTTGGAGAGAAAGATTTCTACATGTGAGACTCACTTACAATCTTTAGCTTAGAAATGCATATAATATTAATACTTACAATTCATTTTCCACTGGAGTCATCCACTCAGACACCTAATAAAAATAATTCTATTAGTTAATCATCTAAAATAAGTTATTTTATATTTTACGGTAAGGTTAAGGTTTTCGTGAGTCCATTTAATATGAAACTATATTTTTAGATATACTATAATTGTCACTTTCATCTCCTCTGCCATTGATCACGGTTATTGTAAAGCAATCGAAACTTCTTTGGAATTTCAAAATACAATAATAGAACCGATTAGTATATCGGAAAAATATAGTTTCATTTCATTTTATTATGTATGGAGGGAAAATAAACGACTAGTATTCAATAAGTATGATTATAAATTACCCAGTCAGCAAAACTTCCGCCTAATATTAATGTGAACCAGAATAATCTCATTATTATTAACATTAAGATATATTGAACTTTCGTCAACCCCTTTCAGTAATCAAATTATAAATGCACGAGCAGATTGTTTTCAAACTATCGATAAATGATTGCGGGTATAAGCCATTGTTTGGAATAAGCAAAAGGTTTAAAAAAGTTTCTTAATCGTATTAGAGCAGGTGCACATGTATGCTGTTTTTTACTTTTAAATCGTAAACGATTTATTGCGATTTCTTTTTAAAGATATTATAAAAATAAACTGAAACGTCGGAAGAAGAAGAGAAATATGCAACAGCTGTTACTAAAACATTAAGATTTGTTTTTCTCTGGTTTACCTACTCATTTGGCCATCAAGACTGTGGAAATTTTTAATTATTTTTATCATATATTTACATTATGCTATATCTTTAATAATCCGTTTTCGGTCATAATTTTAATCAGATAAAGGAAGGCTGATCGTTAATTAGTCACTTCATTTCATTCATTTCCAATTTTTAGTAAGATTTGTAGACAAGTAGAAAAAATGTCTTTAAGAACTAGGCAATATGAAACATTTACGTTGGCAAAATATTCCACAATTCTAGTGCGAATGAAGCCATGACATTAAATAAAAAAGAGACTAACTTATTCTACTCTGAGAATTCTCTCATTATAAACATTACAATAATATTTGGTCCCATATTGTTATCACACCTGTAACAAGTCCAAGTAAAAATAATTGAATTCAAACTATTTTTCAAAGTTATTTTTTGAATACCTTACACAAAGGATACATTCATAATTTTATGTAGATAAACAAATGATTTATTATGTCTGCCGAGGATTCAAGTTGCGTGAAGTCAAAGTTATTTAATATGAAATACTTATTAATATACAGAATTTTTTATTCATTAATGTGTTGATATGATCATTTAAAGTAATTAACGTCATTTGCTAAGTAAATAATTAATGTGATTCGGTTATACACATTGCATTTTTTATATATATTATTATTTTGTTTTAGTGGATGAATTTATAAACGGTTTGTTTAGCGATGAAGCTCACGAAAGGCCATCAGATAATGTTTCACCTGAGGATATGGAGTTCAAGTTGCCTGAATGGTTTGATGAGAAAAAATATAAGCAGTAAGCATACGCTGTTCTAGTACATTGTTATCTTCTTGTTCTTTTTATATAATTGATAAAATATCTTTTTCTTTCCACAGGGGGCAGAGATTTTATCGGGACTATTCATTCATGTTATCATTGTCATTAATGCCTGGTTTAATCAGTGTGTTCGCTATTCCATCCATACTGAAGGTTCTCTGTGGAAGCCGACGTTCCAACTCAGAGTTTACTGCGTACAGGCGATACGTATCAACATTTTTACACATATTCACGTGGTATACTCATGAGCTGAAGCCGGGATCCTTGTTGGTATACTACTGTAACACCGTCGATGGTTATTCTCCTCATAAAATGATATGTTAATGGTGCATTAATTTTAGGTCATGGAAATCCTTACAAACTGTAAGAATCAGACATTTTAGAGCTAGTCGTGCAGCAAAAATGAAAGAACAAGGTATTGTGTCACAGAGGGATATGGCTTTGACTTTGTTTGGGTTTGTGGGCTTCGTCATTTTAAAGCCAGATTTATTTACTGTGACACAATTAAAAGAAGGAGATTGGGAAGCTTTCAATCATATGTTAGGAGTTATCGCGCATATGATTGGTTTGGAAGATAGGTAGGATAAAGCTTTATGTAATATATCGTCGGGGACAGTGCAAATCCGCGTAAATACCATTGGATTATTTCGATTTTAATTTATGACTAATTGTGAAAAAAAAAATACCTTAAAAGTCGTTAATTTAGAAAATATTTCAGCTCAAACTTTCTTCTGAATATTTTCGTCCAATGTAGATACGCGGAATTATCCAATGGTATTTACGCGGATTTGCACTGTCCCCGACGATGTATAATATTTTCTTAAATTTACTTAGTATATACGATATACTAAGCTACTAACGTTGTTTTAAAATTCTCTGTAATTATCTTATAGGTATAATATATGCCGAGCTACGGTGCAAGAGACGAGGGAAGTCTGTAAGCAAATATTGGATCGCGTTTACACTCCTTGTTTGGACAATGTTCCAGAATACTTTGAACACATGTCGCGTGTAATGATCGGAGGTTTGAGCGCTACCCTCACTCCCTTAGAATCCAATTCATTGATATACACGACCAAGTATCTAGCCAATGTTCCTGGGTACATCTCTACCGAGGAAGAGAGGCTCGCGTTACAAGATAGGATCAAAAAGTGTTTAAAGGGAAGATCACTTGATGAAGGTTAATAGCTTTTATATTATATCCTGTATTTGTTACTTTTAATAGAAAAATAATGTTCGGAGGTCGTTATGTAAGGCTGAAAATTAACTTGTGTTTCCAAAAAGGGTCTAGCGTAATTATAAAATTCTAGCTTTCCGACCGCAGCTTCGCCCGCGTTGATTTCGATTATATCGCGTTTCCAAGAGAACCTTTCAAAAGTCTGGGATAAAAACTATCCTATGTTCTTTCTCAAGGTCAGTTCTATTTCTGTACCAAATTTCATTAAAATCAGTTCAGTGGTTTAGACGTGAAAGCGTAACAGACAGACAGACACAGTTATTTTCGCATTTATAATATTAGTATAGATTAAGGTCGTGATGAAGTCATCAAGATTTTGTTATAAGAAAAATATAATGCTATAAATATTTAAAAACTTTAATTATGAAAGCTATTGTTTAATTTCAGGCGTTGATTCTAGCATGCTAATAGAAAAGTCAGCTATAGATGGGCTTACTAAGAACACGAAAAGGATCCTGTACTATCACGATTACGATACTTTGGAGTCAGCACCGGCATACAAAAACCTACCTTTAGTCGCGAAATGGAAGTTTAGTTTACTTAACGTTTTAAAGGCGATTCACGCTTTATATATAGGCCGCATTTTTCTCAATTTTTACATGAAGTTCTTATTGTTCCTCGCTTTTTATTTCCCGTATATCGCTATATGGAGATATGGAATGCAGTATTACGTCGACATGTTCAAAGACAGTCCCGTCGATGATGCAGAATTGATCCCAAATTCTGAATATTATAAGCCCCAGCCTCCCGAACCCTGGTATAAAGTACTATACGGCATTTTATGGTAGCACAAGTTCACAGTACCTTTATGTAATATGTTTTACAAATCACTTTATTTTCTTAGTATTATTAATAATAATTTGTGGTGTAAATGGTTGTACATATATGTATTTTATATTTTTTTTTAATAATACAAAAGGCGAAGTTGTTTACTACAATATTAAAACATCACTATTTTATTAAAAGTTTATTGAAAATTACGTTTTTAATATAATAAAGGATTTTTGTAAAGGAAAGTGAAGATAAATTTTTATTGGTATTTCATTTCTGTTTTTATCATGAAAATGTCTGGTATATGGGGTCTATCCTTTTTCATGTTATCCTATTGGATAGAAACCAAAAATCTTCGTAAAAAAAATTAGTTTGTGTTGTTATAAGGCGTTTCATTGATATACAAAAATAGCCGCACCATATTACATAAATTCATATTTAAAATCCTATTTGTTTAATTTTGTGACTCTCTTGTTGGAAGGAACTACATTTTTGTATCATATTTTTAAGGCATATCCTAAGCGGCTGTAGGTAGCGACCTTTACGTCAATAAAGTCACAATAAAGTATTCGGAAACAATAACATTTATAAAGATAACCATTTTTCATCATATTTTTTTTCTTAAACAAACAATAGGTACATTTGAAAGTAGTTCTGTAAAATAAAATAACAATACGACATAAACAAGTTTGTAGGTATATACTCGTAATATGCAATTATAATAAATTTGCATTAATAATGTCTTAATATAAAATATTTGGGTGTCTTAAATAATTTATTATATGCATATATTTATTACGGAAATTTAATAAATTAATACAAACAAATCTTTTAACTTTGTTAACAATCTATATGTACTGAGTATTTGTGCCAAGATTACGAACGGAATAGAAATCAATATCCACAATTGTTTTGAAATTGAAATGGCGCCAAATAAGGAAATTATTGTGTAATTATGGCGGGAAGGTATTTTCTTATTGCCAGGATGTCTGCTGAAGATGATGTTTATGGACTTACGTCTTCACTTTGTAATTAAAATCTAATATCTTCCAGACTTCAACGGATATTATTCCAGGTTTTTTGGGACGTATGAATAATTTAAATACTTATATTTAAATATATTTAATATTGTGTATCTACTTTTCAAGAACAAGCACAGACTTACGTATAATTTCGCCTTCCCAACAGTAGTCTGAAAAAAAGCTAATTATTTACATAAATATGAGTAATTTTTTTCTTAAACACAATAAACTATATATACGAAAATATTTATTTAATAAAATTGTTAAGTTAAATGTTGTTACTGTTTTTAAAATATTAAAATTAGATTTACATATTATAATTATTTGCAAAATGTTTGTTTTTTTTTTAAAGAAATACATATATTTTGGGATAAAAAAGAAACAAAATAAAATTGAAATGATTTATTATGATTGTACATGAAAAAATCCTATTTAGTAGGTATATTAACTAAGAAATAATTAAACGAAGTTCTACACTGTTGACCTGTACAATACTTTAACATAATTAATATTTTTGATTAATTAAAGAAAACTATTATTTTTTAGTTATTTAGATTATAGAATTTATATAAATAAACAAATTCATGTTGCGAGTATTAACTATGTTTCTTAACTACTCGTCACTAAAACAGTAACAGATAGGAGTCATAATTATAGCGTTTTTGTTACAAGATAAAAATTGTTAAAATTTTTGTTATGTATAATTTTTCAGAGCCTCATTTAGAATAATAGTGCTGGCTACATATGATTACAAAGAACAAATATTAAAAAAGGCGAGAAAAAAAATGGAATTAGGTATGAAACAAATATAAGAAACCAAAGCGTATTTGCGTAAACATACCAATATAAACTTAAATAATTGTCAAATTTCATGTTGATAAGTATATATGACCTTTTATTTTATATAGTCACCAGTGTTATGTGGTTAACTTGACCTGAAAACTATGATTAAAACATCGAACTACTCTAATCTAAACAATAAAATGTAAATTGTAAACAATAACATTTGAAACAGAATACTTTAGAGATATAGCAAGTTGGATTTAGTTATAAAAAAAAAACAAAAATTAGATTTTTAACTTGACGTATGTTGGAATATATGTTGTAAATACAAATTACGTCCATTACATATCAAAAGTGCTCTTTAAGTATGCAAACCACACGTAGCTTATGAAAGCTACAAAATGTTTTGTATGTAACTAAAGCCTTAGCTGTGTAAGATTTATTTTAAATACGCTCTCAAACCACACTCATCAAAGTATAGGTTCTTTAAAGTTTAATATTAAACAATAAAACAGAAATAACGTAGAATGTAAAATAAAATATTCGTGATTGAATTTAAATAATTATATGATTTTATATAAACATATAGTTATTTCCACCTTTAAGATGATGGTTATAAAAACTATAGGTATACCTACCAAAATATTAATTTCATAAATAGATTATGTACATACATCAAATTACTTATGTACTTTGGAGCCTTATGGATTATGGTACCCGTTTACTATTTAAAAAAATTAAGATAAAACAAAATAAGAAATATAATATTTTAGCGGAAGTTTTTGGCATTTTTAACAAGAGTGTTATTTTATAGATTCATTGCTATTTGTAGATAAACTTGTTTTATGAGAAACGATAGAAGTCATATCAATTTAATTAATATCAAAAGAGTATACAGTATCCTTGAGATTATAATAAAAACTTGACATAGACGTCGTAGGCTATATTTTGTAGAAATATTTGTAAGAAAAACGATATAAGCCTCATAGATCTGTTGCTGTTGATTAAAGATTGTTATTTAAGAAAATAGAAAATATCAACGCCATCTAGTTATCAAGAAATGAATCATAGACACATTGAAACCAAAATGAATAATTAAGGTTTATTATTTAATACCAAAAGCGCCATCTAGTTAAAAAGACCCAACAATTAAAACTAAGAAATATAAATCGTAAGAGGGACATCTACATATATGACACGTAACAAATGAAATCCTAAAATATAGTAGTTATATACAGCGCCATCTAGATTTGTATTTTCTTTAGTGTAGAGTTTCTTCTTCGTCTGGCTCTACTGGTTATTGGCCTTGGACAGAGCCTATGTCACATAGTTTTATCATCCGGCAGACGCGTCAGTTGCTTCGTACGTTATTATGAATAAAACCCGCTAGACAATACAGTTAGAATTTCTTTTTTCGTGGTAGTGCTTTCACTGAGTTGATTAGAATGAATTTGAACGGTGAGTTCTTATTGCCATCCTCTTTTATGCCATAACGAGACACTTAAGATTTTGTCGTCTAAATGAATTGAAATATTGATCGAATTAACATGTTTTTGTTTTTTGCAAATCTAAAATTTAATAAATGTACCTTGAATATTATGACTTGCCATGGACATAGAATATACAATAAAACAAAGACTTTGAACTTTATATTATTTAGACGTATGTTTTTTACATAAAATATATATTTTTTAATTTCGTACTATGAAACAGCTGAGTCAGTGTTTAAGAAGGTTCTATTCATTCCAACTAATAATATACTATAGGTCACAAATTGTTTATACGTAATAAATAATTGCTCATACATAAAAAATATTACTATAGTCAAAATACATATACCTATATGAACTACACATAACTTTGAAGGCCCATTGTTTCCGGTTTGGTATGGGTTGTGTAGAATCGAAAAATGTGCTGTTTTTTATAACTGTTAGTAAATATTTTTTACCGGTTCTATTTAAATTTTGCTATCGCAGTTTCCACATTTACCGTTTGTATTTTTCTCGTTAATATGCATCGATATTTCGCAATACCTATCAAATCTATCAAAACAGTCTAGTTGAAGTTTTATCGATTATTTATATTGTTATTTTTGAAGGATCACATGCTTTTACCAAATTTGCCATTATAGACCGATGTTACACATATGCATAAAAAAAAATTAGAATTTTATAAACCAATTTAATAATTGCCATTCATCAAAACGATCTTTAAGTTATTTATTCGCTACAATATTTGTTTTATTATTAAATAACATTATTTATAAATATCAATAGAAATATATTATTTAAGATAGAATATTAAGAAATAGCTTATTATACATATATTATAAAATCGTTTATCATTGAAGCTCAAGGTGAATTAGTTCGTTTTTTGGGAGTGGTATGATGGTCGAAATCTCTACGCATTATTTTGGGCAGGAGTGATGTAACAAATTTTTATAATAAATTAGTTTCACATTTTTTGAATAATATACATATATATATATATGAACTTATAGAAGAGTAAAATCATGGTCGTTATTGTTTTGTATTGTTTTCAAATAATTTATTTTTGTATAGGTTTATATTTATTTTGATTGAGACCAACTTTATTAGAGGTTATCAAAATTCCAAACATACAATCTCGCTTTTGTATTACGTGTTGGTAAGAATTTGAAGACAATGAAGATATTTCATTCTTCCCATGAGATAATTTTTATGTTTGTTCCTATGCTCTTAAAAAAATAGATTTGATAAAAACAGTATTTAAGAAATATGTTGTTTTAATTCGATTTAATCACATTAACAGGAATCTCTTGTTAGAATTTTCATTATTCATATACATATATAAACATTGAAATTGATGTGTTTTATTTAGTAAGTTCTAAAATGTAATGAATAATATAAACATTATATTAATTAATTCAAAGTTCAACCTTTTTATTTATTAATTTATGAGACAGCTTTAAGTAACTGTTTATTTTTTTATATAAAATGTCGCATAAACATCAGTTTTGAAGATTATTTTATTGTATTCGTAATAAAGGAAAACAATAATTTAGCAATGTCTTATTGTTTAAATCTCATAGCCTTCTAACTTTATTCTTGTGTCACTTGATGTAGGTACGCGATTTAATTATTATTTTTGTCACAATTTAATTCAATATAAAATGGCATTATTGTTTTTTTTTTCAATGCAACGAGTCTCAACAATCTGAAGGAGACAAAGTGTGGTTTAATTATTATGATGTATATTTTGTTAGTGAATTTTTTTATTTTAATAATTTCTCGTATTAGGCCAGTGCAGATGCCTCTAAAAATGATGAAAAGTGAAAATAAATTATAGTAGAATGAAACCCTTTAGAAAAGGAGGGGAATATTATAAAAATAAAGGGAAAAATAATTTACGGGCGATCTGAGGTCGGCAAGGGTACGGGCGTGGGTATTTAAGGCTAAAAAATGGGTTTTCTCGTTTTCCGGAAAAACTAAAAGTCCTACGGAAAAATGTTATATTTTTTTTTTTTTTTTTTTTTGTTTTCCCAGGGGAAATCTGTTCACAGATACCCGGCCGAGCGGGGACTTGACCGGGTTATGTGGGGTTTCGACCCACTAAAACCCCTGGGTGTTCCTCATCCACGCCACCTAGGCAGGGCCACGGTATACCAAAAGCTTGCCTCGCGACCCTGCCGGCGCTTGTCCACTCCGGACCTCGAACTAAGGGGGACAAATCCCCCCACAAACCACCACCGCGAGCCGCCCCCGGAAACAAGAGGGGCTAGCACCGCACTGATCCTACCAGCGGGCGGCGACAGAAGTCCCCGTCTGCCACCCAGGATCACGTCGCCCGGCGTTTAACCTATGGCTGTAAAGAGGCCAGATAGGCTCGGCGCCGGCGACCAATTCGCCGACGACGGAGGGCAGGGGCCTCCAGGTTGCTCTCCCTGGCCCGCTCCGCTGCCTCCTTCGCGCTGATGACCGCTTCGGCGAAAGCGGCCACCGCCTCCCATGCCTTCTCGCTGCCGACCATAGCCGAGATTATAGCCGGCAACGAGAGGTCCCTCCCTATGACCGTAGTCAAAGCAGCGCGAAGACTGTCCCACGCTGGGCATGACTCGCGAGTATGCTGCGCCGAGTCCTCCACGCCACCCCCGCAGTGATGGCAGGCGGGGCTTTCTTCCCTGCCCACCACCCGCCACAGATACCTGCCGAAACATCCGTGTCCCGACAGCAGCTGTGACAGGCGGTAGGTCAGTGGGCCAAACGTGCGACCCACCCACTCGCAAAGAACAGGCCTGACAGCGGTGGCCAGTTCATAACTGGCCGTCGGAGAAGCCAGTCGCTCACCCCATCTACGCAGGACGTTGGCCGCCGCATCCCTTCTCCATTCGGCGACCGTCCCGGACGCAACTCCTCCGTCACGGCTGCGAGCCTCCGCGCGCCGGTGATAGACAGCCGACAACGCATCGGCCTCCAGGTACCACGGTGGCGTGCTGGCCAGCACGCAGGCCCCCTCAAAAGATACTGTGCGGTACGCCCGTGCCACCCGTCGCGCCAAGATACGCTGTGGACGGCGGAGGTAGGCTATCGTTCGTGGGCCGAGAGACCGGGCCCATACAGGCGCACCGTACAGTGCCATTGATCTAACGACCCCAGTGTAGAGTCTACGACATGCCACACTGGGACCACCGACGTTCGGAAGCAGGCGCCCCAACGCGCCAGCCGCCGCGACTAATTTGGGTTCCAGTCGCCGGAAATGCTCGCCGAACGTCCATCGACTGTCGAGGACCAGCCCTAGGTACTTCAACCAGGGCTGAACAGCGATAACCGTTCCTCCGACCACAATACTCGCTCCCCTCGGCGGTCCCCTCCGCGGACCGTGGAAGGAGATGGCCTCGCACTTGTCGAGAGCCACCTCCAATCCCAGAGCACGAAGTCTTATAGACCCAACGGCCCCCCTGCGTGGGGTATACTATTTTGCGGCCCACAAAATAGTCCGCCACCATTACCTGCAGGTAATCGGGCACCCCGTGCCACCTCAGGCCTGCAAGTATTGTCTCCCAAGGAAGGGTGTTGAAGGCGTTGGAGATGTCTAGCGATACCGCTAGCAACACCCCACCCTGAGACACAGCCTCCTCAGCGAGCGACCTCACACGCAGGATTGCGTCCACCGTCGACCGGCCCTCTCTGAAGCCGAACTGGGTCTCGTGCAGACTTCTGCTCATCGACTGGACGAGACGAGCCGCGAGCACTCGCTCAAAGAGCTTACCCGCCTCGTCCAGGAGCACAATCGGCCGATATGCCGACGGCAGGCCCTCGTCCCGGCCTGGTTACGGAAAAATGTTATATGGCAAAGTTGGAGGTAATAAAAAGATCTAAAACTTTTACATTTACACTTTTTTCACATAACCTGAAAATTTATGTGATAAATTCGAAAAAAAAATTTGTTGGTTTTTTATTTTTATCTCTTACAAAAAACAATTTTCTGTCACTAAATTTGGTGAAAAATTTCCTTTTGATGTTACAAATGCACTGTAATTTATTTGATTAGAAATATTTATTTTTTCAGCTTATTTTGAATAAATATCTAAAAATCAGCCGCATTTTCAATCGAAAAATCACCCGTCAAAATATTAGCGTTTTTCAAAAATTTGGTGTGTTTTTTCAAAGATTTTGATACTATATTTCAATAACTAATTTATTATTATTGAATAGAATGAGTAAAATAATCATACATTATTCTTATTACATTAATAGCATTGAATGAGTACAAGGAAATAAAACAATACATTATACATACAAGCACATAATGGACATAATAGGTATCTACCATCTATCATTAGAGAGTTGAGTTGTGTTATTATTAGTTATTTACATTTTTAATACTATGAAGTTTTATAATGACACGAAATCGTTCTTCTATGATATTCTAAAATGGTTTTTATTTATGCTCAGTGTTATTTAATCTCTTACGTCTGTAATACGAGACGTCTAGAATTATCACCTTTAGAAACCTAGTATAGTATAGATCAAAAAATATTAATATTTAATAAGTAATCCCCATTAATAAATCCAAGGTACATAAAGACGTATAATAATTAAAGAAGTAAATTTAAATTCTTTACATTGTATGTAAATGATAAAGATTTTTCTAAATGAATCATGATTTCGCAGCCGTTATGGTTTATAGTCGTGATAATTTCTGAATTTATTTGTATGGAACGGCAAGCAGAAAAAAAAGGAAATTAGAATTATATTATGTAATGGTTTTAAATAATTATGTACAACACATTTATATTTAAATACACATCGAATAGAAAACTTGATTTTATTGAAGTTCTATTTATGACCACTATTAAAGTGATGAAGAAGCTGGCATGACTATCGTGTTTTGTTTAATATTGTCTTATGCATTCATATTGTGTAGTGTCGTTTATTACCAAGCAAGGAAGTGCAGTCTCATTTATCTATACATATAATAAAATTGTAGAAAAGTGCTGTCTGTACATTGAAAATAAAAATAAAAAAATCAGGGGTTATTGTTATGTCGATGTCGAACCCAAAAATGTAATTAACTTTTTTTTGTCTGTTCACGCTAATCTTAGAAACGGCTAATCCGAGTTGGATGCGGTTTTCACGAATATATTGTGGTATGCTTCAGTTATGCTTTAGTGTTTGTTTCATGTCAATCGGTTCATTAATAAAAAAGTTATGTCAAAAAAACGCTGCTCATAGTTCATTCCACGCGAACGAAGTCGCGGGCACAGCTAGTTAACTAATAAAGCGCTGTACCTTCTTTAGATATGATTTGTAAAAGTATTCTAACAATTAAATATATATTTTTATACATTTTTTATTATTCAGCTTACCTTAATAATATTAAAGTCTGTCTATTGTTTTGCAGATTACGTATTTAGTATCGATCGAGGCTTTCCTTGTTGAATTAAATTGGACTTTTTCAACATTTTTCCTTAAAAAAACCTTATACTTTTATAAAAAGCAAAGAAATTTGTAAATTGCTTATGAGAAGATTTAACTGTTAAAACGATGTTATCTTTTACTAGAAGACCTGGCAAACTTCGTATCGCCCGATAATCAAGAAATATCTATTACGTTTTTTTATTTATATTCTCGGACTTTACCTGTAAGCCATAAATCTCCGTGTTTTGAAGTGCGACAGAATGATTTACATATTCGTTAGTTGTCAAATCTAATGTCAAAAAAAACGTTTGTATGGGAAATAGAAAAGGGCTGTTTTTATGGTTTTCCCAGTAATGAATAAATTTTTTTCAGCTTTTATACCTTCCCTGAATCTCCACGAACATTTCAAGACAAAGATAAGATAAACCCGTTCAGCTGTTCTCGAGTTTTAGCGAGACTAAGGAACAGCAATCCATTTTTATATATATAGATTACAACATTTCTGCTATTTTTTTTAAGATCGTAGACTGATTGTAAAATTACAAACTTGGTATTAAATCATATATTTCTTCGGTAAAATAACTAATGATTTGTTAAAAGACTCTAATATAATTGCTTATTGAAGTGTCTACTAACCCTCAAAGTGTTTTACTGTTAGTCTAACGTGGTATCTCTTTTTTGTACCGTCTATTCACGTAAACCATAATGTATTTTTTATCCGCATAGATATCCTCTATAATGTTATCCAGTTTTTCTTTGTAATTTGTTTAACTTATTAAAAATATTAATTTAATAGAAGATTAAAGCACTCATTAAAATGACACCGAATAAATTAGTTTTATAGGATTATATGATAATTTCCTTTCTAAGGACTTGAATATCTCTAGATATACATATTTACAGGAAAAAATATTTAAATTATCAATTATTATATGATTCAGATCAATCATTACGACACCGAACCGAGATAAATGTTAATTTTCAAAAAACTATGCATTTTCTTTTCGTGTATCATTAAAGTTTTATTTCTTATTATCAAAGTGAATACGAATATTTGTTTGTGCAAACAGATAAGAACAAACGCTGTCACTCTGAACGCTTACTTCCTCTTCATTTTAATAATATAACTCGATCTCACTCACTGTGAACTAGGCCGTTGTCGACGTGACGACACTTTGAATGGGCACAAACATGTCGAGTTTTTATAGTAGTGGGACATTAGCCATTAGGAATTATTAAATTTTAACAGTTGGACTCACGAAACGTAAATCATATTTACCTTCAGAGATACTAAGTATGTATATGATTTTGTTTTACAGTGGATGAATACATAGAGGGCCTATTTTCTAAAGATGCCTTCGAACAACCATCTGATACAAAAAAGCCTGAAGAATTGGAGATGAAATTACCAGAATGGTTCGATGAAAATGAATTCAACAAGTGAGTAATTAATAATATTTTTTGTAAGAAACTGTTTTTTTTAAGGTATGTCTATGTGTCAGAATATTTATGGTAGGTCCATTTTTAAATGGAGTTTTGTAAGTGTCAATGACCTAGAAATAGTAGGTGATGTCATTTTATTTTGTTCGTGACTTTTGTATTTAATTTTAAATTCTACACATCCAGAATTAATAAGGCAAAAAGCCACCATTCATATTTAATTATTCTTTTAATATTTTGCTAATAAATTAATAAGCTTCTTATCATGTATTTGCCGAAGTCAACTAGCTTAATTAAGCTTGTTGATTCCTTGAACCAAAAACCTAGCTTCTCACTAAACAACGCTGGTATGCCATTCAAAGAAAAAAGCCAACCATTATGAAGTAATTTTGTGACAGATATTAATAAACAATAAACTTCTAACAAGAAAATGTATCTCTTATCCTCGATCTATTAAAAGTATCAATTGCTTCTAAGTTGTTTTTTATATTTATATTTATAATTACAATAACAGTACAAATGAATGCAATGTTATTCAAGACGCTCGTAACATCACTGAGAGATACATATTTGTTCAGTGCACAATCACGCGACACCTGACACCCGTGTCCTTACCACAAGTTCTCATCGTCAAACTAAATACGCGAAGTTTCAAGTGTAAATACATAAACTTATGTAGGTAAAATTACTTGCGTACGTGAATTATGAATCGTGGAACTCCATATTGCATTCATAAGTCTTCCCAGATTAGAGTATAAATGTAAGTTATTGTAACAGTAAACGCTTTTTATGAAGTTTCAGAATTCGAACCACTGCTAAGCACACCGTCAAACGTGAACCAATATTGATAGTATTTATTATTTTTCCTCTAACGTCTTATGTCATTTTTGCATCTTCATATAAATATATAAATAAAACAATTGTCAATTTGCGTTTGGAACATGTGACGAACTAAAATAACTTATAAATTGATTTCAAATTGAATAGAAGGTTTGTGTAAATAAAGATGGAGTAAAATTTTGTTCGTGCTTTAATGGGATATATATTTTTAGCTTTCGGCAATGGCCGAATTGTCGATGCAGACAAAAATAGCTTTTAGCGGTTTCTGTATCTAAATATAGTACTGCGCGATAATGGTACCCGCTTTCTTTATGTATCGTTGTGATTTTAAATTTTATATTCAAAAATATATATATATTTCTTTTTGTGTGCGGTTGCAATTAAACGTTTTTCTATGGTACTCAAAATATCCCATACGTTAAACATTTCTGTAATATAAATAATCTTAAATGCCGCCTACAAAATTCATTCCAACAATTACTGTAGGTATTGCTCCGAGTACTTTTACGTTTTAAATTATTTGTCACATATATTTCTGTAATGTAATAATAGCGTTTCGTACTCGGGTTCGGCTTGGCTTTGATTTTGAAGCCAGTGACTAAAAAACCTACTATTTTGTGGACCTTAATGATTCTTAGTAAATTGTTTTTCTACAGAGGCAGAAGATTCTACTGGAACAACTGTTATATGCTGTCATCGTCGATGCTGAATGGTCTCGTCGCTGTGTTCGCTATACCGTCCATATTAAAAGTTTTAATTGGCACAAAACGCTCGAACTCACCGTACACGGCGTACAGACGTTATCTCTCAACATTACTTCACACTCTCAGCTGGTTCGAGAACGATTTGAAACCTGGTAGTATGTGAGTTTATTTATAATTATTACTACGTTACCTGAACCGAGCTGGAGTACATATTTATGTACGATAAGCTTATAAAGATTTCCATTATAAGAGACAATGCTATACAGAATTTTTATTAACTTATTGTTAAGGGCGAAAGGACGATTCCTCGATAGGAGAATGTATTTAAAAGTAGGTACATATATTTAGTATACACGAGTTGGAACAGCAATTATTAATAATTAATACAAGATGCCAAATCATATGTAAAATAACAAAAATTATGTATAGGTACATAGTATATTTTTATAAAATTGTCAGAACAAAGCTCAGTTAGTCCTTGTTTAAAAGTGCATCAATTTTAGTTCAAATCAATTGAGCGCGTGTTTTGTTTTGTTTGTATGTTTACAAGTGAAATATCCTTGAGAGTTTATTGACCTTGGCTATGATTCATTCCATAGTGGTTTCATTTAACGTTCTTGTAAAATATCATAAAATTGAAAATTATGAATCAAATTAAACTAATATAATAAAATTGATTCAATAAAATTGATTCAATTGATACTTATAACTTTACCTTAATTATAGAAAACGACATACTTATGAATTTACAAAGTGGTGTAAGTATGTTCTCTAAAAGTTGCCTACTTTTACTTTAAAAAAAATCCAGTAACGTTATTTAAAATATATCCATTTTTTTTTAGAAGAAAATTATATTCAATATACACTACTAGTCTCAAATTCATGATATCATATTTTGTTCCCCGTGTATCATAACTGAAAGAACCTGAAGGAAAAGCTTTATTAACTCAGAAAGTTACATTACGCGTTATTTTATTAAATTTCCATGTCTCTACTCTCTACAGATCCTGGAGATCCCTTTTCACTGTTCGTACTCGTCACGTCAAAGCCAGTTTAGCTGCGAAACTCAAAAGTCAACTGATAGTCTCCCAAAGGGACCTTGCACTAACACAATTCGGTTTCATCGGTTTCTCTATTATCAAACCGGACAAATTCGGCATCCGTCAGTTTGAAACTGGCGATTGGGAAGCATACAACCACTTTTGGAGGACCATAGGACATCTTATCGGATTGGAGGACAAGTAATATATTATTAAGTATATAGAAAATTTATTAAAAATTTTCATGTGTTTGTAAGATTCCTACTTAAGAGTTAATTTTGCGTACGTTACAGGTATAATCTGTGTCGCAAGAACATTGATGAAACTCGTCAGGCTTGTCAGATATTACTGGATCGTGTGTACACTCCCTGTTTAGAGAACGTTCCAGAATACTTCGAACATCTATCACGCGTCATGCTGGAAGGTCTATGGTGTGTCAATCCTACTGTACATATCGATGGGATGATATACTTTACGAAGTACTTGTGCTCGGTCCCAGGGTATGTTTATACGGAACAAGACAGGTGCGAACTGCAGCAGAAGTGTATGAATCAGTTAAATGGACGGTCGGACGAAATTGGTAAAAAAAATGTATTCTTATATATATTGCATGAATATATCATAGTCAAAAATGATTTTATTTTAGTACTAAAAAAATCAGGAGTAAAATACTCATATTAAAATAATATTTATTTTAATGAATTAATGAAGACGCCATATTTATTAAATTATATTTTTCAATTTTTACTGTACATTTATTGACGTATGTCATATTTTTTCCAGGTATCGAAACATCATCACTAATGGCAAAGCCTTTAATTGATCTGCCTCCAAAGAAAAATCTTATTTACGTTAGAGATTACGACAGCTTGGACACGGTGCCGCCATATAAACGGCTACCACTAGCTGGCAAATATAAATTGGCGCTTTACTCTATACTCTCTGCCTTTTACACATCATACATAGGCAGGATATACCTGAACTTCAATTTCAGGTTTAGCTTGTTCTTAATGAAGTATTTCCCGTACATGGCATTCTTTAGATTTGGAATTATTAAATCATATGTTAATATATTTAAAGAGGACCCCATGGACAACACTGAACTGAAGCCTAACTCGGAGTATGAGAAACCTCAACCTCCTTTGCCACTTTACAAAGAACTGTTGTCTTTGGTCTGGTAATAGTTTTAAGTTTTTTCTCAAATTGAGAAGTAAAATTTCTGTTTCTGAATAAACTTCACATTCCAAATAAAATAGCTGAATAGTGGGCAAATGAATGATTTATAATACATACGTACCTAGATTTTTGTAATAATGAGGACAATAAGAGTGCAAAGGGCCCTTCTATATAAGTATTATGAGTTTTATGTATACTGTGACTAGTTCTAAGGGAGAAAATTTGGAGCTGTATGGTGGTGGATGTTAGAAACATATGTACCAGTGTACAACATAAGTATATATTGATTTATACATTAATGTATAAAAAAAGACTAATATCAAGGTCAGACATTTTATTTCCAACATGATATTAATTGTTAATTACTTATCAAGATATGGTTTTGAATATCTTTATAAAGATAATGGATTACATTAGTATAGGCATAAGTAAAAATATTAGGCCTGATACAAAATTTTGTATTACATATAATGTAAAATGCGAATTATTTGACTAATGCGTTAAAATTTTTATCATCTTTCTGATTGTCTATCAGTTAATCGTTATAGGTATTTAGACTACTATTAATTCTGATGATATTGTACCGATAACTATATTTAATTATCTAATATATATATTTTTAAAGAAACCATTATTATATCTAACATGTTGTTTTATTGTAATCTATTAAATAAGGAAACGACCAAAGAGGTATTATACCTGATATTTATTTTTGTAAAACAGATCTTAATAACTAACAGACCTTAATTAAATTAATCTTAAATAGAATTTATACAGTACAATTAATGTAGTTAATATTGTGCTAATGGAAACATAAAATAATACATTGTTATTGTTTACATTAATGTGAAGAATGTATCAAAATAATATTTAATTATCTATGGAATTGAGCAATAAAAGACATACACATTTAACTATATTATAACTATAATTATATTTATTTAATTATTTTTTTTGTAGAACTGTCATAAATAATGTTTTCACATAAGAAAGTTTTTAGGGTAGTGATTATGTTATGAAAGTCTTTAAACTACATTTTTATTGCTAGGTAATTAAAACTATGTATGAGACAAGATAAAATATGAATAAAATTCAATAGACCTTGACGAAAGCTAGATTTTATTAACATGTAAATTTATTTGAAGAAATCTTGTGCTTTTAGCCTGGTCCTCTTTGCTAGGTTTATCTGTAATAGATTATCTGTGATGTTGTTATCTATCTGTGAACTGCTCTCAGGAGTAGGAGATGAGTTTTCAGGTTTTTTAGCTGATGATGGTGTTTTTGGTGTCGCTACCAGCGGTGTTCCCGGCGATGGGGTTGTTTTTGGTGTTTTATGCGATATACCCATAGCGTTGGGTGTTAATTTCGAGCGAGGCGACAGTAAGTGCTTTGCCGCCAATTTCCTTGCCGCTGGCGACATGCTTGCCAACCTCTCTGTGTTGGTTCTGAAACTGTAATAAAGCGTGTTTATTTATAGAAAAAAATATAAATGCGATGCTATGTATTATAATAATAAATAACTGCGACAATGATAACTGCGAATTTATATGACTCTTGTGTAAAAGAAAAGAAAGAGGCTTAATATGCTGAGCTAACGAATTAAGTTTGAAATATAGAATTCAAACGAAGGAATATCAGCCACTGTATAATGAATCGAGAGAAAACCAAAAATTATACTCAATCCATATTGACATCATTATGGGCAATACTTTTTTTACCTACAAAAAGTTTACATATAAATAATATAAAAAATATCGTATCTACATTATAATAGTTTTTGCCCGCGACTTTGTCTGTGTAAGTTTCAGAATAAGTAATGTAGGTATAGCTCACCAAGCGAACTCTATGTCCTTAAAGACAGTAGATAAAATTTTGTACATGATCAACTTTTTTTTTTGTACATGATCCCTTGTTTTAAGCTATCTTTCCAACAATATTCAGCCAAACCCGTACAGCCGTTTTTGACATATAAAAAGTGTAACTAACACGACTTTCTTTTGTATATAAAAATATAACAAACATATTAAAATTAGTCAATTTAATAGCTGAAGAAGTAGGAGTTATACCTGACCAAATATATTCATACTTTATGTATACAGGGTGTTTCAACCTGGGTAATATTCCTTGTTCTATATGAATATACACTAACCTCCCAGGTGACTTCATGGTGTGTGTTGGTGTTGTCGGTCGGCGTCGCTTTGCAGCTCTCTCTGCTAATTGCAGTGCGATTCTCTCGCGAGAGCCTGACTCAAGCATACGATAAGCCATGCCTGCGCCCACCCTGTACACAAAGAATATTCATATTAAATTCAATTAATGACTTCTAACGCAATTATTATATACTAGCTTTCCGCCCGCGTGGAGTTCGATTATATCGCGTTTCCAAGAGAACCTTTCAAGAGTCTAGGATAAAAACTATCCTATGTCCTTTCTCAAGGTCAACTCTATCTGTACCAAATTTCATTAAAATCAGTTCAGTGGTTTAGGCGTGAAAGCGTAACAGACAGACAGAGTTACTTTCGAATTTATAATATTAATATCTGATCACGTTTATAAGTTACAAACTATATTGGTGAAGACTTATTCATCAAGTTAATTCGCAACGTGATGGACCCAGTGATACAATGAATACATGGAATGCTGAGAGGTTTCATCTCTCATTTCTAAGTGATGATGTTTGTATGAGACTACTTTCGCATTTATTATATTAGTAGGGATTTGATCACTTTTATAAGTTGAAAACTATATTAGTGAAGACTTATTGATCAAGTTAATTCGCAATGCGATGGACCCAGCATCCGCATGGTAAATCCATGGAATGCTGAGAGGTTTCATCTCTTATATCTAAGTGATGATATTTGTATGAGACTTACGCAGGTAGTGGTGTGTCTCCTCCGTCCAGCCTGAATGGAGTGCCTTCTATCTCTCCCCAGGTCATGAGAGGCGACTGATCCGGACCAGCTCCCGGTCTTGGTGAAGGAGTCGACACGAAGTTGTACTCCGGCTTCTCGCCTATACTGACACCGTCAACACCAATCTTGCCTTGGATAGCTGAATCCTGAAATATTCATTACTCTTTATATATGTATGAGGGTTTTTTCTTGTAAGTTGTATTACGTCAAAAGGTAGTATGGTCAAAACGTAGTATGGTCAAATATACGTCAATACGGTTCATGGTCAGAACTCACACTTAATTATTTGGCATTAATTGATTAATAGAAAATATAATGAGTGTCGACAATATACTTGTCTGTGTATTAATTATACTTGCTCGGTATTGTTAAATATGTTATATGATGCTAAGTATAATGTAGGTTGAACATTATTTAATATTAGGTATTGTTATATAATTATTGTATTATGTAAAGTATTTATTTAAAAAATACTTTAATTTGTTCATATTTTGTTAAGTATTTATTTGTGAGCTTTTATTTAAAGAGTTTAGAAATGCAGCTTGCAAACGACAAGAGCTGTTGTAGCGCTACTTATGTTTAGTTCTGTCTGCTAAATGCCAGAAAAAAAATTGAATTTGAATTGTTTGAATTGATTGACTGATTTTCATCACAGCCTGATTCTCAATGATCAATTGAATACACTATAGTGTTTAGTATAATTAAATCTTTTAATATTTGTGAGCTGGTTAAAGTACAAATAATAATCATGTCAGTTACACCATTTACAGTTCAAGAATGGGTTTATTGCCTTTAAGGAGAAACAGAGTTCCTCCGGTCAGCTATACATTTCTAAGGTTGAAAGTAAAGTAAAGGAAGTTGAGGACAACAAGTAGTTCATTATATAATTATTATGTACACCATTATTTTTTCAAAGACAGATAGGCTGATGAGTAAAAAATTATCATGTCAATTTGACAAAAGCAAAATAATTTTATAAAATAAACATATACACACAGTTGTTTAATGATGAAAGATTGTTAAAAGCAGAAATGGATTCATTGAGATATAAATTAGTTCAGTTGCTTTGTTTACAAGATTTCCATTTTCTATTGAAATGGACTGTACTTTTTTGGATACTTCATTATCAAATTAGTTACTTATTAATATAAAGATTTTACATATATAATTACCTGACTTCTTGCCAATGCAGTTATAGCTTCTTTGTTCTTAGCTGAATCAAACACTTGTGTTGTAAGTCTGGTGTTATGATGTTGCAGCTCTGGTTTGGGACTGGGCAGTTGAGACTCGGCCCCGTCCGGCACATACATTATGTAGTTCTTGGCACGATACCTCCATGTGTCCAGCTATAGTTATAATAGATGATTATGTATCATGATTATGCATGTCATTTCTGAAAGAACTGTCAAGAATACAAGCAATATTGATGCTATTTAAAATTTCAAAATAAACAAATCAGATCAATAATTATAATGAATCAGTATCAGTTTAATAATTAAAATGATTATGTGATAGTTTAACTAGTTCAAACTAATTTAATAATTTTTATAGTATCTTCTTCTTCTACCTGGCAATTTTCTAGCTTTAGCAACGGTCTGCCTAAGTAGGTTTATATCAAAAATGGCCACCATAAAACAGGAGTTTTGTATGATTGATTAACAACCATCCATACATTCAGGCATCTAGACATACAAGAGAATATCACACTTTGATTTTTAGACTTCGTGTGTATTTACCTCATGGGGTCTCTCTTCTTGATTAGCCTGTTGCTCCAGAGATGGTAATGCTAATGCTTTATCAGCTTGAATAGCTGCGGTGACCTCTGACTGCAACTGGGATGCAATTTTAGTTGCTTTCTTCTTATTTTCAAGTGCTATAACACGATCATAGCTCGCATTGTCTTCACTTGTATGTTGAGCGAGGAAGGAATCTGGATGAATGAATTCAATTTAAGTTCACAAGTGAGATATTAACAAATGCTGTATTTTTAATTAGAAACTTAGTGTTATTGAAAATGTTGAGGTTTAAAAAAAAAATCTACTATTCATGTATAACTAAAATAAGTATAAATTTTTCCAAATGTAATAATAAATATAATTCACTATCCTTGGAAATAATACAAAAGTGATATCGAGGACAAAAATACCGAGGGTAACATTATAAGAAACAAATATAGTCCATGAGACTTAAGTTGAGCTTTGCATTTGTGTGAGTGAAAGTAAAAGTAGAGTTAGACAAAAAAACTTAGAATTTATTATATTTTAAATAGATGCATAAAATAAGTGTGCGAGCTATTCTAGATTAAAAATAAAATTCGCAAAACTTGTAAAAGGCCACATGTAAATAACATGGAAAAAAATATATAATAAAAGAAAAAGTTTAGAAAAAACTATAAAAATTCTGTTTCACTTCAAATTGCGTTTTCAACATTTGCCGCTGCTATCAATATAAAGAGTGAAGTATGGAAGGTGCGGGGCTGAGTAAAAGTGGTATACACCGGTTCAAACCTAGAAAAGCACATGGCACACACAAATTTGATATCACACCAATACTATCAGTGTCACACAAATGCAACGCTCAGCTTATGCCCTGCAGACTATACTTACCTAGAGTATGTTTATCAGTTATGTCCTTAAAGGTCTCAACAGTTTCTTTAGGTATGGATTGTGTTTCTGCTGAGGATGGAGAAAAAGGTCTGTCGGCGCTTGGTGTGTCAAATGTGGCAGGAGAATTATCTACAAAAAAGTAATTTTAAGTTATTAACACATGCAAATTAGGATTTTTAATCACAAAAAATACTTGATATTATATTGAACATAAGATAGACCCTCACATGGTTCTGTAGGTGGTCTTTGCCCACTGTATTTTTTAGCAATTTGTCGAAGCCTGGCATAGTCTTTGTTTTCAGAAGCTTCTAAATAATCATTTTGCGCCTTAAGTTTCTCTAAATCTGGGAAGAAATCTCTTTGTATGATCTGTGCTATTCCCTGTTGAATAATATAGAAAAATTATGATTATGACTAAATAACATATTGATCTTTACAATTCTTAAGCCGAGTTTATATTTACCTGTACATAATCTTCTTCGTCCAAGATATGTGTTTTCGTGACTTTTCTCTTAATTGGTGGCACTTTTGGCACTTTAAAAAGGGAACTTTCATTTTTAAGTATTTTCATGTTCTCCAGGGCTGTTTCGCCAGGACGTTTTGTGTTTTCTTGTGTCATATTAACAAATGTGTTTTAAGTGACACTTAATAAGTTAATCGATTAAATGGAATATACTTTAACACAAAGTCGACAACAATCAGGTACGTGATAATTCTATTAATTAAACAAAACAAATATTAATTTGTGCGTCAGTGTTGTAATTTGACGTCTTGCATTATATTGTCAATGGTTGTTGACAACTTTGCCAAATTAATTTTTGCTTTTTTATCTGTGCCGTTATATACCAAAAAAATCTAAACGTAGTTATAAAAATAATATTTTCACATAAATATTTAAAAATAAAATTATGTATTTTTTTTTGTAGTTAGATCTAACAAATCCTGGGTAATTTATTTATTTTGAAAGTTTTTTTCCAGTTTGCTACTTTAAGAGAGCAAAAAGTATATTATAAGGGAAAAATAAATTGTACCCCTGTTAAAGTAGTAAATTTAAAACAAATAATGATAAACAAACCATTACAGTAATAATAATACAAACAATCATATTCCGATTACATTATCATACATACCTACATGCATTAAGAGACAGACAGCAAAATAAATTTTTATGCACATACAATAATATTTGGAACATCAAATTTCAATATCATCAAAGACAAAAAAATACGTATGAAATGTAGATGAGAAGAATTATTTTTACATTTTAGTAAAGGAATGAAGTAAGAATTTTGTAAGCAGTAGAATTTTTTTTAGTAATTAAGGAAAAATTTTAATTAATAATAATTACTTCTAATGCTGTTTACGTTAAATACGTTCACAATGTTTGATAGGAGGGATAGATAGAATAATTCTTATAAAGCAAATTTTGTCAATAGACTAATAAACTGATAATTTCAACATTGATATTTTCTAGACACAAAGTATTTTAAAACATTTCGCGTTCGCTACACTGCATTTACTAGTAATAATAGAACCTTCTTAAACTATACCTATTAAGTACATTTAATTTAATAATACATTTCTAATATTAAGAAGCATTGTTTAGGAAAACGTTATGTTCTGGGAGTCTTGAAGCTGTAAATTTTTTTTAGTTATCTTCGCCGTTCTGTGTAAATAATCCTTTGTCCGGCCTTTGAAATCTCAGCAAAGAAGTCAGCTTAAGTTATATCTACGTTATTATATCTTTAGTTAGTTTATGGATGATACAGAACTTTTTTCTGACAAGACATATATGTAAGTACTATAGAGACTAGCTTTGGGAGGGTAATGCGTTTCTCTTAAAGGAAATAAGGACAACCTACAGTTTTTAAAGACATCCAGAAACTGTTAATTTTTTTTTGGCGGAGGTTTTTCTATCCATTACCATAATGCGGTCGTATAAGAGTGAGGGAGTCTCAAAAATAAGTTTCAAAGACAAAATAATATGTACTTAGTGAAGATGAACAAAAAAGATAATGACAACTCCTAAAAAGGAGATATAAGTAGTGGACACGAATTTTGTTGAAATCATATTTTAAATAGCAAGTGGTTGTAGATTTTATAATAATAAAGGAAATAATCAACCCGTCTTAAACAAGCGTGGTGATTAATGCTCAAATCTTCTCCATGTGAGAAGAGGTCTTTGCTCAGGAGTGGGCTCTGATAGGCTGATGATGATGAAAGGAAATATTGGGTTTCTAACTTAAATAAGAGCATTCCTACAACTGCTATGTTGTAAAACATTGGGAACGTGAGATAAATTTGGAGAGGAGAGACGTGACAGTGTAACCTGTGACTGTTGTATACGTAAAACATCTGTCTACAAAAATCGTTATCATGAATATTGAAAATAAACAATAAGAGCTTTAAATATGAGTTTGTAATTATTTCTGGATAGTTCTAAGATTTAGGCAGGTAATAGATTATCAGTGAAGACAGCAGTAACACAAGGGCTAAGTGTGTACTATGTAGTAAACAGCTTATTAAAGAATTTTCTTACATTTTAAATTCCTTAGCGTTTATAGTTTTTATTCCATAGTGACAAAGAATTTTAGTCCATGACAGTATATTTTTTCTATATTTGATTACTATTGTAATATTTAATTTAATTTTCATTTTATTGTATGCCTGATTAGAAACATTTTATTGTCGTTATTATATTTTATAAAATGTACAATTTTGATAGGAATAAGTATATTTATAAGTACCTATAGTAAAGGTATTTTCAAAAATAATGTAGAATTATTGTTATTCGTTACCGTACGTTAAATTCAAACAGTTGAAACTATGGAAAAGGGAAAATAAAATAAAAATAAACACTAATTAATAAATACAATAATGCATATAAATAATTTGCTTTATTCTATAAATGATATTACAATTTGGCTATACATAATAAAAATAATTTATTTCTTCTTTTTGTGAATGTATTCCTTAAGGTAAAAATCTGAAAATAGGAACAATATAAATATATTGTGGGGTAAAAATACAAAGGACACCCATTTCGGATAACCGCATGAAGGTTCGAATAAGATGTGGCCAAAGTGTATAATCAGGAGAAGGAATTGTAACTGGAAAGAAAAAATAGTTGAATTAATAATACACATAAAATTTTGTTTATCTTACGAGTTACGTATATATGAATGGAGAACTATTAAAGCACAGTATTTAGTGACGATGCGGACTTGGGGTAAAGATACTGGTAATAATACTTACTATCTGTAGTTGTGTGATGTATTTCTTCCACCATATTCTAACCCACTCACGCTTTACAGCCGATATTAAATAGTAGGTGTACATCACTGCGTGAACGAAGGAGTTTATAAAACCCAACATTATACCGTGACCACCTAAAAATTGTATTAAAATAATTATCATATAACATTCATATAGCGATAATTGAATGATTTTTAAATAGGATATTATAGAAAAAATATATGGTCAGAATATTGTGAACATTAAAGTGATAAGAAGTCATATAAAATGTATCGATACGATTTTTAAGGTAAATTTTTTTTTTAAATAAATTTGTACCATAAAAAAAATGTACTTATTCTTTAAGCCTATTCGGAAACCTTTCGAAATATCTTTTTTAATATCAATAAATTGCTAGTTATTGATACACCAGCAATAATAATTTAGGCAGATGCCAAATTAGTTTCATGAGTGACATTGCAAATTTAATAAATAGCTTTTAAAATTTTTAATTTTTATTTCAATATCTATTATTTTAATTCAATCAAATAAGTATTGAACAATTTTGTCTCAAACATTTCGCTTAATTTTTAAATTATATGTCAAATATGAGATTTAATTTGTCGCAATCGTCATCTTTTCACAGCTGGTCCTGTGTCATATGCCACAAGATTAACTGAACTTTGACCTCATAAGGTAGGTAAAGGTACTTGACATTTTGTGGCATTGGACCAGATATGACCTTATCGAAGTTAAAGGTCATGCAATTATAAAATTTACCGAATACGGTAAAAGTGTTTTGTAATCATTAATTTGTAATATTTTTTTTATACCTCAAATTTTAACAATACAATTTATTGCGAGTTCATTAATTGTCGTAGAGATTAATTTAGGTAATTTGATATGACAAGGAAGACGACCTCCCTTTTGATAATTGCTTGTAACAAATGTTATTTGTATTTTAAAAGAATTACGTCTCACGTCATAATCAAGGAATATATGTATAGAAAAGAAAAAAAAATAGTAGCCGGTCATTTTAGGGTTCTTTCTAACTCCAATATTATTATAGAGGATATTTGATAAAGTTTGCTAATGTGTTTTTCAGTTTAGTTACATTTCTTCTAACATATTAATATCAGATACGACTAAAATCCAATACAATTTTAATTTTTATACCAAGTTACTAAGAGAATGTTAAGTTATCCAAATTTGATGTAATTGGTCCAAAGTCTAAGTTTAAATTTTTAAGTGGTCTTACCGGGAACGTATTTAGTTCCGATGTATCCCAGCAAGCACATTCCCAGGTGATGGTAGACATGAAGAAAAGATACCTGATTGAATTTCTTACGGAACACGAAGAAAACCTTAAACAATAAAAGTTAAACGATTAGCAATTGTAAATAATTTCATTGTTCATGGTGTACATACACTGAATTATAATAAATTATAAATTGAAATTTTGATGCTAATTCATAGTTTAAAGGAATTTCGGAGTTCATACAAGATGCATAAATTTAAATTGTAACAAACGCATATTATACGATCTTTGACCTGGTATCCGGAGCATTCCTAATAAATAATGTTCACAAATAATTATATATCGCATGATCTCTAATAAAATTGTGTAAATAATTAAAATTTAAATCAGTTTATGCTATAAAAAAAAGTGGTCTTATAATTTTAATTAGAGATTGCTATATATATTTTTTGTATTCAATTAAAAAATATTGACAAGTAATTTATGGATTCAGTAACTTTTATAATTTATATTTACCGTATCTAATAAATCTACAAGTTTGATAGCGTAATATAACCACACGTAATTGATAACCATACGTTCCACTTCTGTGTCTTCGTAGTTGATCTTCTGGCACCAAAGACTGTAATAACCGGGTAGGTACAGCCATCGAAGACACTGCGGATTGTGTACTCATATAAAATACATAATATACATTGTATATTGGTTAAAACTAAGTACATATATTATATACTCGTTAAAACTAAGTACATTGAGAACCGTTTTTAGACTTGTACTTAGCAAAAGTAGTGTTAGGTGAAGGAATTAAAATGTATATTTGTTGTGGAGTGTAGTATAATTCAGTAGTATTATTGTACTTTGATATTTTCGTCACAAATAAATTCTAAGTGCTAATTTTTATTCAGTAAATCATTTGTTGGAAGTACTACATTTTTCTTCAAAATAACTTCAGAATTTTATTATAACGAAAAACATAGAAGAAGTTTTTTTTATTCTACAATTAATTTGTTTTATATATTTTTTACGAAAACAAGCTGATTGAATGTTTTTAATTATAATTTTTGTAAATCATCCTTGTTATTCAACCTGAATATATTATTTTATTAAATTATTCATTGGACATTTAACAATAGTGATTTATATAAATGGATAGGTTTGTAATATCATTACATTTATAAGTGTTACTGTTAGAAAAAGAATATTTACCTCAAATGCGAGTAATCCAGAAAGAAATATCTGTATGATGTTGTATAAAATAAGGAGATTCTTTAAGTCGTACGCTGGTCGGTTGGCCATAAACGCTGGTCCCCAAGATTTGACGAATCGATGGTATAAAAACATTATCGTCATCACCGGTATGGGCGTGGAGACCAGGAAGAAATGATTAGTCCGAGGATCTGAAGAAAATTTTGCGTAATAATCTTCCATTTTATAATTATCACGACTAAGTTGGCAATGGCAATAATAATTTTATGCTCATATAACACATGTTTACCATAGTGAGTGTGAAGCGATGTTATATTATAAAGGTGTTATACAAATTATGTTTTAATTCACATGGACTACGAAAAGTAATCGTTGCAAGGCGTTTATAAAGAGTTATAAAGAAAAGGGAATGTTATCGCGTTTGGCTGAGCGTATCAAGATAAAATAAAATGAAATTTAACATAATCTTTACGTGTAAGAAATAGTTTGAAGTTTTATTTACATTGATTGAATATAACTTATGGAAAATACAGAGAATTTATTTTTTCAAATGATTTCATTAATATCAACATATACAATACCTGCCAAATCCTCGTTCAGGTAGTTGTAATATTTTGTTATATTTGCAATAAGCGTCCCCATACCGGTGCCTTCTGAAAAGTAAATAAAATATATAATAGGAATAAAAACCAGTCATCGATATACTTATAATTTTATTTGTACTAACAATATTTAATTCACTCCCTTGTTCTAGGTTAGGTAGGAATTATAAGATATTATATCATAGTATATCTATGTAAGTTGAGGATAATAATAATTGTTTTCCAAATACATACATAATTATTTGGAAAACAAAACACATGAGTTATTAAGTCAACGAGCTACCAAAGTATCAATTAATAAAACTTAATTTAACTAAATACATAGATATGCTTAAGAAATTTCGCTTAAATCTATAAATCCTTTATTGAAGTGATAATTGAAGTAAACTAGTAGAGATAGTTGGAAATGTTTTATTACAATTATTATTTTGTAGATGATTATAAATAAGACCTAATTGTGAATAATTTTATTTTTATTTTTATCATGTTAAGAGTTGATCTTTAATTATTGGAAACGTGTCCTTATAAAGCAATAATACCTTTATGTTCGTCCTTAACCTTAGTGAGTGATATATTTTTATTATTATTACATACAATACAACTTTAATAATTCAAAAGTTACATTGTTATTTTGTACTCAATTTCGGCTTTTGAAATTTGAATCTAAAAGTGATCTTAACAAGTTTTGGTTTTGAAAAACCTTTTTAGGCCAAAGTTTATTTTGTTTATAATTCTAACTTATAAATATAAATTTATTCCTGTGACGTAATGAATACGAAATATGTTATGATTATTTATATACGTATTTAACAATATTTAAAGGAATAAAATTAACTTAAACCTTCAAAATTAAAAAGATGTGTTACAAAAAATAGCTTAGCCTGAATATTTGTGTGTGTATGTGTGTGTGTGTGCGAGTGTATGTAAGTTTGTTTGTATTTTTAAACACTGAAAACATATAAAAAAATAACGAAGATTTATATCAGTGTATTGTAAGCCATTGCTACATGTGCACAGAAAAAACCCGCCGAAAACGACATTATGAAATAGGAGCACGCGATATAAAGGAAGGATTACAAATCATTAATTTACAATAGACCATTTAAATACTAAATGGCAAACAGCTAATTACAAGCTTGTTAAAAAATTACTGAACATAGCCTAAAAAACATTATTTCTAGTCCCTATCGATAAGTGTTCTTTACAAAACTAAAGTAAAAAGATTTTAAATAAACTTGTCTATCCACTATCATGTAAGTAGAACACATTTGTCAAATGAATTCCACAATAACATTATTCATTTTTGCAATAAATAATTTTGCAATAATAATTAAAAAGCCAGGATAGCGTTAAACAGCCAAAACATTAATTTCAAATGCTGTCAATTATTTCGAAGTAAATCGCGTTTTAAACAAAGGAATGAAATTAAAACAAAAACTTCGCAACACTCGATTTTGAAACATGCTTTCATGAAGTAAACACAAATGATATGTTATTATAGATATAATAAAATGTAAAAGGTGAATTCTTGACCCGATGAGAGAGGGTGGTTGGAAAATACCCTAAGATTATTTAAATATGAAAAAGTTTCTCGTAATTCTTCTATAATTATTGGATTCAGATATGTGTATATTTCATTACAGGAATATTTAAATGACCTGAGACAATAATATATAGTAAATAATAGACTATCGCCCAAATTAATGGTATAATTATTATTTAATATAAAAAAATATGCTCTGGACATGGTCATTTCAAGCAAATTTTGCTTAAACTAAATTTAAATTACAATTTTATTCATATAATATCTGAACAAATAGTAAAAGTTTAATGAAACTATGAACACAATGCATATGCATGCAGCATGACTATGAGGTTCAAGTGTTACATGTATTACGCACATGATAAATGAAAATTAACACGTCAAATCATATACTTTGACCCTTTCAAATTATTTTCCAAACTTCCAAATAATTAATACGCATTATTTATATATTGTGACTTAAAAAATATATATCGCTTAGTTAAACAATCAATAATCGCAAGAATACATAATTATTGGAATTTTTTTAAATAGTTCATGTATTGTTTATATTCAAATTAAAATTTACTAATAAATATGTAAAGTCCAATAAATACCTTTTGAATGTCACTCACTACAATCAAAGCGGACGTCTTTCGCCCGCGCCCCAGCAAACTGTTGTGTTCGTACTTACAATCTGTACGAAGTGTTGTTAACAATTAACATAGATGAAATATATTAGGGATCCGCAGGAACATATAAAAACGTACATTAAAAAAATCAGAGATTATGCTTTCGAAAACTACTTAAAACTTTTCTACGGGAGCTCAATACTTTTTTATTAGAAACTTTGCATTAAGAAAAATTATTTTGCTGTATTAACTTTGTAATATATGTCTAATATGTTTAATATGGGAAAATCAATAATTAATAATTTGATGTCTGGCACTATATAACTCTTCAAAGTCTAGGAAATCAATAAAACTGGTTTTTGCACTGCAACATCTACCCACAATTAATTTCTATTTTTCTTCCAGTCACTGATTAATATTAGATTCGTAAAAAAAATAAAAGCAAAGCGTTAAATGATAAAAATGTTTATTTTGTAACAATTAATTAAAAAAGTAAAATGTACTATTTTGTTATAATTTCGATAATTTGTGAAGATGGAAGTATATTTCTTTGTTAGTTATTACTCTTTCAAACGAAAAATATTGAAGGGATTTGATAAAAATTCTTAGCTTACGGTTCTCAACACATTCATAAGTAAAATAGTACCCAAAAAAACTCTGTTTTTTCCGGTACTAAGGCATAATTTTATGGAATAAAATCTAACTATGATCTTAGATATTCCTAAAATTTTCGAAATCCATTTTTTAAAGCACACATCATTAATTTATCTACGATATTCACCCGAACGAAGTCGAAGACAAAAGCTTGTATGAACTCATAGCTACTTGTATGAACTCTATAAACATATAATGTCATAACTAAGTGACGTACAAGAACCATACTAATAACAGCACTCTCTTACTTTACAGAATTTTTATTTAAATGAAATCACCAGGAGTCAAAAGCATTAAATTAATATTAATGTATGTATTACATTGTAAAGACAGAAAGGTTATTATTAAAATTATCAAAACTGATACAATATTTACATATAAACGCCGGGTTAGTAAAACTTTAAGAGTAGTATTTAATAAATTCGACCATCCAAAAAAAATTGCAACGTATCTGTTTGAATTTGTACAGATAAGTTCTTTTTTCAATATTAGAAAATGGACAAACGTCTTACAATAAAATGGAATGGATATAAAATGTACCGTAGAATAAAGCCGATAACATAATGCAATTATTTTAATTAGTCAATAAGTTATTTACGTAATAGGTATGCAGAAAAAAGGATCATTCATACTTCAAACATCTGCGGTAATATGGAAAGCTGCAAGGCTAAGTTTACCATGTTAAGTAATTTAATACAAAATGTTTAACACAAAATTCATGGGACTTTGCGATGTTTAATTTGTTGCCGAAATTAAATTCCATTGACATAAGGTTTCATACTATCAAATAAACTTCTCCTAAGAAAAATAAATAAGTTTAAAAATCTATACTGTTCATTTTGCGTATGTATTAAATATAGATAAATGAGACAGACTATGATCATAACTTCGTTATCCTGGAGCCAAAACAATCTATTATTTTTATATTGAACACAACTTGTGTATATTTTAGGATTATAGAACTTATCAACGTAAAAGAAATGCTACAGCGACAGAAATTATGAAAGGAAAATCTTACTCGTATATCCCGACAAAGGAAAATCTTACTCGTATATTAAAGACAAGTTTTTCTTCTTCTTCTTCTTCTACCTGGCATTTTTTCTCAGCTTTAGCCAGGGTCTGCCTTACATGTTGTGAATAGTTTTGGCTATTTGTTTTTACGACCGGCTTCCTGCTTTACATCAACCCTCTTTTGCAATTGCATTAATCAGTGATGTCTAAATACTCTTAGAAAGTACATATGACTCCGAAAAATCACATTGGTTCTTGCAAGGCCAGGATCGAACCCGCGCCCTGAGGTAGGCCTTTTAACCACTAGGTCACCACTGACTTATTAAGACCAGTTTGTCTATATTTACCATAAGATTTCAAAGGTTTTTGGATAATTTAGACGCATACATCACAAAGTATGGAGATGACTCCAATAAATTATAAAATATATTTTTTCCATTTTGGTTCAAAGTATTCTCAAAGAAGTCTTGACTGATGAGATTTTGTTTACTTTTGGCACAGAGAATTCAACCACGATAACGAATATATCCTTAAGATACTTAAAACAAAACAGCAATATAATAAACCTTATAATTGTACAACAATTCGGCAAGCCAAGACATTTTACTTGAAGTGTTAAAGTTCAAGTGTAAATAAATTACAATAACTGTAGTAAAACGATGAAAAACCTTACGGCATTCCGAAAAATATATATGTATAAATAATAATATATATTTAATTCCAAGACATCCGAAATAACAAAAACATTTTTGGAATTTGTGTTTGAATTATTTGTGCAGAAATTCTTTATATAAATTCAATAGCTTTGGTTATTATTATTATTTTTTTTTTATCAAACACTTTCCTTTGTCACATGTATGTTCCTGGCGATGTTTCCTAACCAATTTACAAGCTAATTACATTGTAACAGTAAATTGCAAATATTTACCAGTGGGTTTCATCTTCTTCTTCTTCTTCTTCTTCTTCCTGGCAATTTCCCAGCTTTAGCCAGGGTCTGCCTTCCCACACAAACACCTCCACTTTGCACGATCTTGGGCATCCTCGGTGGTTAATCCATTGGCTCTCATGTCCTGCTTCACGATGTCCAGCCATCGCTTCTTTGGGCGTCCTGGGGGTCTCGCTCCAGGGACACACATATCAAGGCAAATCTTTCCGACGTAGTTCTCAGGCCGGCGTGCAACGTGGCCATACCATCTCAGGCGACTCTCTTCAAGCTTATCCGCTACGTCACGGACTCCAAGACTACCTCGGATGAATGTGTTACGTATGCGGTCGGCCCGCGTAACGCCACACATCCACCTCAGCATCTTCATCTCCGTGACGTGAAGCTCCTGAGTGTGCCTGGACAGTACTGGCCAACATTCGCTGCCATATAAGAGAACCGGTCGGATTATGCTCTTATATATTAGTCCCTTGAGCTTGGGCGGTATTCTGCGGTCGCAGACCACACCTGTGACCTCACGCCATTTCGCCCAAGCAGCGCTGATCCGGGCTTGGACATCGTGATCGATGCCTCCGGACTCATGCAGAATAGATCCAAGATACCTGAACTTCTCCGACTTAACGGCTGGTTCAGGACCTATATGGATGGTGCAAGAGTCCGGGCTCCCGCAAGCCATGTACTCGGTCTTCGACACATTTAGTTTAAGACCACCGTTCTCAAGCGCACCCTTCCAAAGGTTCACTCTCCGCTCCAGCGTCAGCCGGTCCTCGTCAATGAGCGCTATGTCATCGGCATACATCATCAGCCATGGAGGCTGGTCCTGGATGTTAGCCGAGACGGTGTCCAGCACTACATTGAATAAGAACGGGCTAAGAGCCGAGCCTTGGTGCACCCCTACTGAGATCGGGAAGGGTTTTGTATCGCCAACAGCAGACCTAACCATGGAAACGGAATCGCGGTACATGTCTCTGATGATGTCAATATAGGCCTCAGGGATCCCTTTGGTTCGCAAAGCCCACCAGATACATTGACGAGGCACGCAGTCAAAGGCCTTCTGCAGATCTAGGAATGCGACATGCAGAGCTCTCCTTTTTTCCCTGTATGCCTCCATCAGGGTTCTGATGGCAAAAATGGCGTCCAAGGTGCCCGATCCAGGCTGAAATCCATATTGACACTCCGAGACAGTACACTCTCGGCGGAGCCTGAGGTCGATCATGCGCTCAAAGAGCTTCATGGTGTGACTCATGATCTTAACGCCTCTATAACTACCGCAATCTTGAACACTGCCCCTGCCTTTGTAAATGGGGGTAATGAAGCTATAACGCCACTGATGTGGCATAGTCCCAGTGTTCAAGATGCGGTTGAAAAGATCCGTCAGTATGAGCACACCAAGAGAGCCCAATGATTTCCACGCTTCGATCGGAATATCGTCAGGTCCCACCGCTTTCCGATTCTTCATGCGTCGAAGACAATTCCGAGTTTCATCAGGTGTTATTGGGGCAATAAGTCCAAGATTAGGAGGTGGTTCGGTAGGAAGACTGCACGGGTGCTGAGTATTTAGCAACTCCTTGAAGTAGCATCTCCATCTCTCCTTCACAGAGGCATGATTACACAGCAGCGTGCCCTGGGAATCTTTGACGCATAGACATCTTGCGATATCTTGCGTCGCTTTATCCCGAGCTCGGGCCAATTTGTAAATGAGCTTCTGCCCCTCCGCAGTTTCAAGTGTATCATATAACGGTGATAACCTGTCACTGCGGGCTCTGGCAACAGCGCTTTTACTGGCACGTTTCGCTGCTATGTACTCTAGTCTGTCTCTAGTGGGTTTCATCTTCGGCTGGTATATCTACGATAAAAGCCCTGGCAGTGTCATTTTTAATATATCATAATCCAATAGAATGTTGTCACAGAATAGACCTAGTTTATCAACATACATACTATTTTATCAACTTTTTTTTTTGATGACGCAGGGAAAGCCGTCCAACCGGCCTTGATGGGGCCGGAAGGGATGTGCGAGACTCGGTCGGGGCAGGCCCCTACTCTCTAAAACCACTGCGAAAGCCATCGGCCGCTATGTTGGTGTACCCCGGATCTACACCCGGATCTACACATCTAGCGACAGGGCACACCGTCGACTGGCCGGTCCTGGCAAAGACCGGACTTACTCCCTCGGAGAATAGGGGAGGTCCCGGCAATTAGGACCACCCCGACGACGCCGGGCTTTCATTGGAGCCGGGTTAACACTCCGACCCCAGCCCGGAGCACAGGAGTGCTATTGGAGGCGTTAGAATCGCCTCCGTCGCACCCCTGTACGTCATCTGCGGAGGGAGGGTGCATCAGCCGCACTCTCCCTTTCCTCTCAGGTGCCTCCTTCGTGGACATGACCGTCTCACAGAAGGAGGATACCGCCAGCCAGGACCTATCACTCTCGAGCATCTTCTCCACGATACTCGAGTGCGACAAGTGCCCGGTTAAGACCTGCGTCAGACGGAAAGTGAGGGCTTTGCGTTTCCGCCTCATCCATTTTGTTTTATTTTTTTTATTTTTTTTTTGTTGTATTTTTTTTTCAATTTCATATTTAGACTTTTGTTCAGCTTCCTCTGTAGATACTTTTAATGATCTCCAGTTTTTTATTCCATATAATGACGATGTTTTAAAACTTTTTCCAGAAAAATGTTTTTAACAGAAGTTAACTTGTCTATTTAGAGGCTGTAGTTGAAAATAAGGGTGCAAATAAAATGCAAACTACAAATGACAAAATTCCGTCATTAATAACTTTTTAACCATTAAAGTCCATATTCCAAAATAAATTCTTAACGTTAGCTTAAATAGATGCTATCCTTTCAAATAGTTTAGGCGATTGTCATCAATTTATGCTTATACAAAAATTACGAGATGTAAATTTATGTCGTAACTTTTGCCAGTGCTAAACATAAAAACTATACAAGCAAACTAGTGTTATCTTTGGGTGAACTAAAACATATAGCTAAAGCGAAACCCTTGTTTTTAAGCCCACCGTTTAAAAGAGGTTTGGTCAAAGAGATTTCAGTAATGTTTTGTGTTTAGTATATCATTAGTCATTATTGAAGTCTTTGTCTTAATAGATTGATCTTTGTATAAGTCTGTATACCTAGATATTTTTTGCGATCATGTTATCATAATTGATCATTTCAATGTATAGTTAATATCATATCCTACTATCATATTTTCCTTCAAGCTATTTAAGACACTATGTATATTAAATTATAATTATTAAAGTTTTACCTGGACTGCTAACACAAATGCCATTTAAAAATGACATTTATATTTGTCAAAACATGTTACATTTTTATTTTAACAAAAATCTAATATTTCTCATTGAATCCAAATTTTTTCCTATACTTAGCTACAAATCGCAAGTTAAAATAACACCTCACTATTCAGTGAAAACAGTTGCGAACCTTTCTTACAGAATATATGGAGAAGCTGCGAAAGATGGTGACCAATCTCCAATACTGCTATTGCACGGTCTTTTGGGATGTAAAAAACATTGGGATAGTATTGGCAAGACCATGATGAATGTGACTAAAAGGTCGGTTTTGTCAGTCGATTTAAGAAATCATGGAGACAGCCCACACATAAATTCCCATAAGTACGAGGACTTGACCGCGGATATACTGAAGTTGTATGAAAAGTTAAACATAGAAAAAGCATATCTAGTAGGACACAGTATGGGTGGAAGAGCTTCAATGAGCGTTTCTTTATTAGCTGTTAGTATTAACGTTGTTAAATGAATGCAACATCTTAATTCGTGACGCCACATTTTAGTATAGACCAAATTTTGTTTTATTTTTAGTCCCCTTTATTGTTTGCAGCCACCAAAAGTTGCTGGATTACTAGTGATAGATATATCACCTACATCAACTGCCAGAGATTTCTCTGAAGGCTTTCCCACAATCTTAGCCGCCATGAAGAAAATCAATTTTAAAAAACATAAAAGTATTAAAGAAGCGAAGGAAGATACAAGAAAGGAATTGGAGAGCACGATAAATAACGAATTACTGTTAAAAGCTGTCCTGTCAAATGTAAAAATGAAATCCGATCATACCATTGGTTGGGCATGTAATTTGGACATATTGATACGTCACTTCAAGTACATATCTTCTTTTCCGAAGAGTTTGAGAAAAAAAACTTATTATGGCCCCACATTATTTATAGGGGGTCAGTTATCAGATTATCTTCCGTAAGTCATGTAAATATTATAATATATTAACAGAGCATCATAACTATATATATGTGGTGTCCCTTATTTTTGTTGAGATTCAATTTAGAAAGGATTTTGAGACGTTTTTTACGAAAATTTTATGTATTATAAGACAAATAAGTAAATTTTGATTTATGAGAAAAACTATACAAATCAATTCCAGACGTGTCCCAAATCCCAATATGAAATTACAAAACGCAAAATCGGCAGTAGTGGATAGTTGAGTAATAAGATGTAGTAATGTTAGATATAATATTTAATTATTATTATTATGTATGATCACTAAAACTGTATTCACGATTATATGTTGAAATTATTGTAATGATGATTAGAATTGGTTATTGGTATTATTATAGATTGATTAATTATATGTGACCTCCAAACAGATTTTATATCAATTCAAAAACAATGTTATACCTACGTGTACAATATTTAACAAAATTTAAAAAGCCTATAATTATTATAAGAAACAGTAAATGGCACTGTCGGCAAAACCATTGGCTTCAATAAATTTAAAAAGCATAATAGAGTTATTTCCAAAGTGATTTTAACTTTTTGTATTAAGTTTTTTTTTTTAACTAAGAAGTGTATTTTTTCTTTCCAGTCCAGACGACTTGCCGTCAATAAGGGAGATGTTTCCTCGTGCTGTTATTACCTATATACCACAGACTGGTCACAACATTCACGTCGAGGATCCGAAGACATTTCTCGAGCTTGTCATAGCTTTCATGAAGAGTCAAGAGTGAAAATGATATCTCTCGTATTTATCAGTGTGCGAACTTTAAGCAAATAAATATCAATAAAAAAAAACAATGGTTTTTTCATTATCATAGTAGTTACAGCTTGGTATAGACCAATCATATTTTAGTCTATTGATTTACGTCTTTGCTGGGTAATAAGGATTTGATCGTTAAAATTTAGTGATTGGTGGTCTTACATGAATGGGTAGCAAATATATAAAGTATACGTAGTATGTAAAAACTGTCTTTATATATATTTTCAGTTGGAAATAGCGTTAGAAGGAATTACTGTTATTACAGAGAGCATCCTTATAGCTAAGTTTGTATACGATAAGGGAGACTACTTATTTTTCCTTTTTTACAATGAAATTCAATAATTCAATTCCAGATATTGTAGAGTGTAGACATGAGGCCTTAGGCCAATAATGCACTTGGAACTATATATCCTACCTACCTACTTAGATGCATTTCTTTGCCTTTAATATAAAGCATTTTTAATACTTATTTAATCTGGTGTAACGAATTATTAAATTCATTATATAAACATATTTTTTCCTACTGAATAAACTTTTTGGTTTAGTTACCCACAGATAAAAAACAATAATTATGTTCGTATGTGAAGAATGTCATTTTTACCAAATTATTATAAATAATGGAAAGCATCAAGAGAAATGAGTGCATGTTTCTCCAAAGTAAAGAAAGTAATACATTGGAGAGGTTTTAGGTATCACAAACGCACTGCAGTTAGTTTAGCGTATAAAATACATGGTGAAATGAGCGATGTTCCTGTCGTAATAATACACGGTTTACTCGGATCTAAGAAGAACTGGGAAACTATGTCTAAGAAAATCAGTGTAGCTACTAGCAAGGCGGTAATCGCTGTGGATATGAGAAATCACGGGGAGAGCCCGCATACAGACAGCCACACTTACCCAGAACTGGCGTCTGATGTCTTAGAATTAATAAATAAACTAAGCATCTCTCGGACAGATATTATAGGACACAGTATGGGAGGTAGAACTGGGATGGTTGTGGCGCTAACCAAGGTCGGGTTTTATTAGTTAATGATTGTTATCCCTGAAATATTATTGCCACTATTTCGTAAAAGTGCGCTGTGTGATTCACTTAATGAAATATATTTCATAGCCTTATATTTCAGCCGGACATAGTAAATAGCTTAATTGTGGTCGATATATCCCCGATTTCTACACCACGAGCACTCAGCGACTATTTTCCAAATTTGGCAAAAGCGATGAGATCAGTCAATTTTAGTGACTCTCAAAATGTCTATAAAGCTAGAAATATTGCAAAGGAGGCATTAGTAGCTTCAGGAGCTATTGATAGTGATGCTGTAGGGTTCATATTAATGAATATTGGAGTAAGGGATGATAAATCTCTTGGTTGGTTTTGTAACATAGACGTCCTTGAGAAACATTTCCCTGATATTGCCTCTTTTCCTACTGAAATGAATGGAAAGCAGTACACCGGCAAAACACTTTTCATAGGTGGCGAAAATTCTAGATATTTGCAGTAAGTCATTTAGTAAATAATTGTTCTGTTATTATTAATATAATATTATGTATAAAGTAATGGCGGGAAATTTTAAATATACCAACTTTTCCAGGGCAGGAGATTTATCAGGGATTAAGAATTATTTTCCCGTTGCTGAATTAAAATATGTTCAAGATGCGGGTCACAACGTGCATGCGGACAATCCAGTGGCTTTTTTTAATCTAGTCAAAGAGTTCTTGACTTCGTAAAGACTAAAAAAAAAAAATATCGAAAATAACAAAATATTTATAATAAATATTAAAGTAATATTAACATTGAATGCGAAATAAACGTCCATTAAATTTTCAAAGTACTTTATATGGCCGCTTTACTATGTACTAGTAACCCCTGATATATAACCTCTAAGCATAACAACTCAAATGTGCATTTTATATGCGATCGTATAATGAGTTTAATATTATATATAAAATTAAAGTTGTATACAGATTTAATATCCATTAAAAGAACACTAAGAATACTGCAACATAAAAATGTATTACGTAAAAAAAAATTGAACGTAGGTATTTGATGAAATTAAAGTTAAATAACAGTAACTTTGTATTTATTTATATACGATCTTAGATTGCTTCTAATATCATTAAAGAAATATAAAATTTTATTATGAATGTGTATTAAAAACATAAATCTATAAATCATCCGTCTATAAAGTTATACAATCTAGCGTCTCTAACTTCTAAATATAAAGCATTAAATTTTATTTTCTAAATTATTTTCTTTATATTCAATAATTGATTTATTCATAACTCAACTGTCAAAATTTATTAGATTATAACGTTATTAGATCAGCACTAAATGAAGAATACAATATAAAATTACAATTTAAAAACAATTCTATTTACTCCACTCCTGCTAGTTGTAAATAGACAAGTAATTTTTGGGTGATTATTAATTGTAGGTCTCAAGAATGAATCCGTGCATTTATAATAATAAATGATTTCAAGGTACACACGCTATAACTAGACACATATTTATTGGTTTATATGTTTAAAAAATTATTAACACTTATTATTTAAATATAAGTGTTATAATATATTGTTGTTTTTATGCTACAAGTATTTACAAGTTTATATAGAATACTATTTCTACTATTTGCATTCATAAAAAACCTCTTGTCCTGTAGCACTATGCAGAGAATGCATTTTAAATTATTTGAATGTAGTGGAAACCATTGAAGAAAATTAGGTTTGAACTGATATACTCTATCCCTGAAACTTAACATAAAATAAATCGGGAATTGGTTGAAATTCAATTATCGAAAGAGAAATTCAAAAAAATTGAACTGAAGACCTTACTTAATCAATAAAAGATAAAAATTATCTGACATTAAGTTATGTTTCATAAAATTTCTATGAATATTCTGTTTCTCAATAAACATTATCTGAATCAATTTAAGACATATAGTTGGCGAGAATAAACCTTCATTCCTTGGTTTTCTCCACAAAATTTTCAAAATTATCAATCGTTCAACAAATAAAAACGCAGACATTGGCAAAATATACTACGATTACATTAACATCTTCATTCCACCTTTGACGAAAACATTCAAAAGTCCATAAAATATTTTATTTAGTCGATGAGTTGCAAAACCGCGACAGTTTTATGGTAATTAAATAAAACTTTTTCAAGCGTGATTACAATTTATTACCGAATGAAATATCTAACATTTCATACGATCGTTCTAAAGATCTATTATTTTATTGATATCCAAATATCTATATTATGACATTTAAAAACGATCAAATTTAATCGTTATTAACGCTGTTATGGAATGAGTATCTTTTGGTGCAATAATTTGACCACGAAGACGTATATATATAAAATATTCACTGGCATATAACTAGTGCTGCAACAAAACGCTTTATTTATTACCCATAAAATAAAAAAATAAAACATGTAGCAAGTAAGTCTTATTCTATATTATAACAAATATTTTCCTAATATTATATTCGTTATTGAAACACGATATTTTTTTTCCAAATATATATATAATTTTATTTTGATAGCTACTTCTGTAATAATCCATACATCCAAAAAAATATAATGGAATTGCTCGATTGCAAACTTCAATATGGCAAACCGCGGGGAAGAAATAGTTTAGCAAATGTTTATAATGCCAACCAGTTGAGTGGTTTGATTGAGACCAATCTATCTACTTTAGTTTTAAAGAAAAATTTACTTCATGTGAGTTATATACACATTATACGAGTTATTATACTCTCTATGATTGCAAAATTAATAAAGTGACTTCAAGTTAAACGAGCAAAAATATTCAAGGAATATCAAATCGGTATTAGCTGTAACCAACTTATATAAAACAAATGACCAAAGCAAATAAAACACAGATAAACTGAATTGAAAACGAATATAAATGACAAAAAAAAGTCAAAACAATTTTAATGGGGGGAGAAATAAAAAAAATTCGGATATATTTTAAGGGGTGCATCTGTCGAGGAAACGTGGGTAGAGACAGACTTCACGAATGTGGTATCTGTCCAGCAACCAGCATAGGAAGCGCTCCAAGCCAAGGCCGTAACCACCGTGAGGAACGGAACCGAACTTGCGTTGATCGGTGTACCAGTAGTATGGGGAAGGGTCAATGCCCTCACGTTCATATCCTGGAACAATTAACACATACAGTATACAACAAGAAAATCAGAATTATTGAATTATAACTACTAATCTATAACCTAGGAGCTAAAGAATCGTTAAGGAATAAATTTAAAGAAATCAAGATATTGACTGTTGCTTCTCAATATATATTCTGCAATGTTAATGTATGTACGAAAAAAAAATTAATGATTTCATGAGAAAATGTGATACTCATAGCATTGGTACAAGGAACAAACATAAACTTGTTACTCCTGTTACTCGACTACATGGAGTCAGTAACTCCTTTGTGGGGCAATGTATACGGTGTTACAACAGAATCCCAGAAAGCATTCAAAATGCCTCTGTTGCTAAATTTAAAAAAATTATTAAGGAATGCTTGTGTGCAAAAGGTTACTATACAATTAATGAGTTTATGATCGATAGCACACCTTGGGAATGAAACGATCGCCTCCTGGCTATTTCATCTCATATTAAATTATGTATATAATATATGAGACAAATATATATATATATATATAAAACCCGCTGAGTTTCTTTCGCCGGTTCTTCTCAGGTCAGGGTATTTTCTTTTCCGAACCGGTGGTAGTGTCTCAAATGACCGTCAATAAGAAAGTGTAATGCTTCTATATTGAATAAAGTTGTTTGAGTTTAATGGTTTAGGGATATTGAATTTACTGTAGGGTTGTGCCCTATAAATATGTATTTACCTACTCATGATTTTACTTATAATAAGTTTCAACTGTAGAGATATGAAAAATCTTTTAGGAATGGAATAAAAAAAATTATTTATGAGGTAAATAAATCAGGTAAGGTATCCTTTTGACAATAACTTTAAACCCTGACATGTAAACAGTTGTCAGTATTCTTATTATAAATTCTTGTTATTTTTGACTGTTAAAATATGAGACCGATTCAAAAGTAGAACCAGGTGAATATATGCACTTGGCCAGTATATCACAAACCTTTTAATAGTTCCTCATTGTCCCATATCCTCATTGATCCGCCAACAATTTCACCAACACCCGGCATCAATACATCCACAGATTCAGTAAGACGCTCGTCTTCAGGACATCTCGACATATAGAATGATTTGATTGCAACTGGAAACTTGCAAAGAAGTATGGGCACCCCAATTTTATCCGTCATCTTTCTCTCTGGACCTTCTGGGATGTCCTGCATTTTGGAAATAAAAATTGTTAATCTACATCACAAAACCTCCTTGAATGTCTCTTTTGTGAATATGGTAATATGTATAGCTCAAATAAATATGACATTATACATATAAAGTAACATATAAAGCATATTATGTCGATGGGTGAAATTCCTGTAGCATTTATAGATTAAAAATCAATCGGTGACTCTCTTTTAATAAAGACCGATTCTGTACTGTCTGATATATTCACATTCATAGCAATAATTGTATTTATTAATATTAAATTTGTTATATATAATATTATTATTGAAGCTCACCTCTCCAAACTCATAGAATGACCCATCTTCCTTAGTAATATTGTTCTCACGCAAGTATTCAATTGCCTCAATGTAAGTCATGCGTTTGAAAGGCTTCTGAGGAGGCTGGGGACAAAATAAATTGATTTATAGCAATCAACTGTGGTTATATGGGAATTGTGAATTCTTGTATGTCAAGAAGAGTTTGTAATTTATAACTTGTGAAAAATAATGCAATATTTTAAATAATAATTCATTTTAATCTAAGATTATGTAATTTTTTACCTGGAAGCTAGGGTTGAGCTCACGAACAAGGTTCCCTTCTGGTGAATCTAGAACACGTTGAACAACATCCACAACCAGATCTTCGATCCTATCCAGCAGTTCATCAAAAGATATGAAAGGACATTCTGCTTCAACGTGGCTGTATCTGTGAACAAGTAGGACTTCTTATTATAGTCTGATAGAATGAGATAGAATAGTATTTTTATGTAGTGTTATCTCACTCTGCCAGATGTCTTCTAGTACGGGACTGTTCTGCTCTGTAACTCTGCGCTATACAATAGACGTCACCTAACGACGCGAGGCACGTTTCTAAATAAAGCTGAGAGCTCTGCGTCAGATAAGCTTGTTGTCTGTAGAAAGAAGGAATTTTTATTAATTGATGCAAATAATATAATGTCTAGATAATATTGGAAAGTATATGTATGTATGCAGATCATAGAATAGAATAATATAAAAAAATAATAAAGCTAAACAAAATGTTTGCTTGTTTTATTGTCACATCTTCTTACTCATACAAACAACTGGTTTGATCGATTTTATTTGTGTTGAATCATACATCATCATGTTGAGGAAGTTTGTAAGAATAATCTATATTGTGGTTTATATGTTTAGACTTTAGTTAAATTTTTTCATGTAATCGTTTTCTTTTCATTTTAACATTAATCTAATATAGACCTAAATACTATAATTAAATGTCAAATAGAAAATAAAGAATAAAAATTAATTGATTGCAACCAGTTTCAAAGTTGTTTGTTTGAGTTGCTTACATTTATAGTGACTAAGGTGAAGTATACTCACCCAAAATAATCAAACTTGAAGAGAGTTGAGCCACCTTCACATTGCGTTTGGACCATAGTGGGTGGTGTTACCTCTGTGTAGTTTCTTGAGTTAAAATGTTCCCGGAAGGCGCGAGTCACTAAAGCACGTGCGCGAAGTATTTTTATGGTCGCTTCACCACGGATTGCTATATGCCTGGAACATTGAAAAAATTATGAGTACAGCAATTATGAGTGCAGTGAAGTAATAGAAAGTTTATTCAAATATTTGCACACTATTAAAAGCAACTAAGAGATAGTAAACAGTTAAGTATAACCATCTCTACTAATATTATATATGCGAAAGTAGCTGTCTGTCTGTTACGCTTTCACGCCTAAACCACTGAACTGATTTTAATAAAATTTGATACAGAGAGTTGACCTTGAGAAAGAACATAGGATAGTTTTTATCCCAGACTTTTGAAAGGTTCTCTTGGAAACGCGATATAACCGAACACCACGCGGGCGAAGCTAGTACCTAGCTAATAAATAGAATTTGTTCCACTATAGCAATATCAAGATATATCCTTATATAGGCAATAAATGTTTTATTATTATAATAGTAATTTACCTGTTGTCCAGTAGAACATCAGGATGAGCTTCTTCATTGAGAACTGCATCAGTACCACCAGCTGGTGCTAGACCAATTAGCTCCCAATAATCCACCGTCAACTCATGACCTCCTGGTGCCTTTATAGAAAACATGAATGTTAAATTAATTATAATATAAAAATTATATAGAATGTAATTAAAACAATTATTATACTATTTATTCAGCTGTACAATACTAAGTTATACAATATTAAACAACTAACATCATAAACACAAGGAAAATTTTGTATACATGTTAATAATTTTTATTTCAACTTAAGAATTGAATGAATTCAGCAGTGAATTTATCAAAAAAATATATTCATGGAAATTTCTAATAGCTGCCACTTCTATAATGCAAAAAATTTTGTATTCTAAAATACATATGATACTAATTTCACTGACCATTTATGCAATGCCAATTGCTTTGAAATAAGCAACCTATAAATTATGTTACATATTAAATATTTATATGCATTTGCAATCACTAATTAGTGATATTCAATGGAATGAAAAATGCCTATAAAACAACCAAAAGTTGTAAAATTCACTTCATGATTTATACAATTTTAAGGAGCATTTTATGTAATACTACTTGCACAGCATTAGATATTAATGTTTTTTGTTACTGTATTTACTAATATATGTTATTGTGTAAAAATAATTTTGTTAGATAAGAAAAAAACATAAGTTATGATACACAGCCAAAAAAATAGAAATGAAGAAGCAAATATGGAAATAAATGGAATGAATATTTGCTGAGCATGTATGCAATAACAATTGCTTAGCAATAGGTATCAATAATTTATATGTATTACTAGCTTTCCGTATGCAGCTTCGCCTGCCTATATAGCGTTTCCAAAAGAACTTTTTAAAAGTCTGGGTTAAAAACTATCTTATGTTCTATCTGAAGGTCAACTCTATCTCTGTATCAAAATTTAATTAAAATCAGTTCAGTAATTTAGGCGTGAAAGCGTAATAGACAGACAGACAGAGTTACTTTCGCATTTATAAAGTAGCCTATGTGTTATTCCTGGACGTCAGCTTCCTATATACAAAATTTTATCAAAACCAGTCCAGCCGTTTGATTGTGAAGAAGTAACAAACATACACACACTCACAAACTTTCGCAATTATAATATTAGTAGGATAATAGGATATGTTTTTGTGTTATATAATAAAAAAGTCATGATTTGTGTGATACATAGCCAAAAATATAAAAAGGAAGAAGCCAAAATATAAATAAATGGAATGAACATTTGCTGAGCATCTATGCAATAACAATTGCTAAGCAATAGATACCAATAATTTATAAGTATTATTAAAAATGCAATGAACTGTATAAATTAATACGGCGAAATATCTATCTATTATAAATATTAATAAAATGTTTACACACCGTTTGTCCTTCCGGTACAGCTTCAAGTTTTCCATACATGATCACAGAAGATTCGGTTGAAAGTACAAGGGCGTTATAAACTTGACAGAGTGCACCGTGGAGTACACACTGCATATAACCAGTACCATCCCTTACAGTTAAGAATATGAGAGCTTTGCCTTGACATCTCATACGATGAACCCAACCACGGATGCAAATTCTCTGACCTCGGTATTCTCCAGCTGAAATTGAACAATGATTATATTGAATAATATAATAAATAATAACAAAAAGAAAGTGATAGGTTAGTGTTATGTATTAGTTATGCTTGCTCGATATTGTTAAATAATAATAGGATGTCAAGTCTAAAGTAGGTAGATTACTTTATATTATTAGTTGCTGCCATTCAGTTTGCTCCTTAGCACAATACATACATGACAAAATTAATATTGTTTTATTGAATACTATAGTTAGCATACCATACATGAGAGAAAGTTTACTTTCTTAAATTAAAAGATATAAAGTGACATTTGTTAGATATAAATAAGGTCACAAGCAAAGTGCATTGAATTGATTAAGAATCTCAATGAAGTCACTTATTGCATCATCCTATGAGATTGAGCCATGCTTACACTACATATGATATGTAAAAAACATAACGTAAAGTATTTTATATGACAAGAAATTTTACCATTAAGTATTTTCACAGTAATGGCCTTTGGTAAAGAGGGGTCTTCTTTAATAACTATCTTCTTAGCTTCCTCTAAATTCTGGCGTCTTTTCTCTTCCTTTTCTTCTTCCAATTTTTCTTTGTTGTTTGCTTTATGCATCTCTCTAACCCATATTTTTTGTATTTTCTTTAATTGTGATTTAGCTGCAACATCGTATTTACCACCCTCTTCTTTGGAGTCGACGTATATGGTGGGAAAAGGTTCTTTTCCAGCGTGCCGCATTGCTTGTAAGATAGTCTTGAAGGGGTTTTCGGAAGAGCCATCTCCAGTTTCATCGTTGCCATTTTTCTCAGACGTGTACAGTTCGTCTATAAAAATCATAGCATATAATTATTTTCTTTTCTAACCTCAGGAATCACACAATAATCACTATAAGAGTTTTAACTTACCTAAGGACAGTTTCTGGATATCCGGCATTATAAATTTTATTTAAGCAATATGTTCGGGAAATACCTATAAGATTTCTCTACATGTGGACGTACACTTTAATCATCTGTCAATTATTACCACTGCGGCAGTGCCGGTGTCAGTGTTGCCATCCAAATATAAATTAAGTTGAATTGCCAGAAACAAACAAAACTTTACATGAATAAACAAAAAAATAATCAGATATAAAGATAGTTTAACTAAGAGCAACTTAAGGTTTTTTTAAGTGACTGGAATTTCTATTTTTTTGCCAGCAATTTCTTTAGCATTATTTAAAATAAGATAACAGTTTTAAATAACAAAACATATTAGTTTATTTCCTCTTTTTAAAGTATCGATATTTTATATTTTCACCTCTACCTCCCTCGTACAAAATTGAAATGGAAAACTTCATTCAAATGTGTTTAAATGCTTTTGAAAAGATTGTCGATAATGTTAGCGTAAAAAAGCCAAAAAGTTTGACGTTTTGCCAATATTACGTAGTGAAATATAAAAAATATCTATGAATCCAAAAATACATAATCCAATGAAGTTCCATATTAAAAAAGACTAACAACGATGTTTAATAATTCGTCTAATTTTTATTTTTGGGTCAAAACATCTTGTTCATTTATCACCAGTCGCATTATAACCGACTGACGCAATTAACTCCTGCACCAATTCTTATACTTTTAGCTGGTAATGATAAAACATTATAAAAAGAATATTCTTTTGAAAATATTCTTAATACAAACATTAAAAGAATTTTGCACTAGATACTTCCATAGGCTACTTAAGAAGTGACAGTTTCTAACTTCCTATTGGATACCATTCAGCAATCTAGTTACAACCAGGTGCAAACAGTTAATAATTTGTTATATTTTTACGTTGTTATATTCATAAATAACAAAGAGTTTCTCACAATCAATTTCAGAACTTTAACTATTTATAGCGATAATATTGTAGAAACATTTTAATATTGTTGAAACAAACACAAACATTCATTTTGTTTTGTCAAAACACCATGGATACTATACGTACAAATAATAAAATTGTATTATTCAAAATTTGAGTTTGAGTAATCCTAGGCCATCAGCCTAGGATTACTTACAATCTGATGTATAATTTGAGTCCACCTGTTTAATAACTGAAATTTGAACGTTCATACAAACAAAATTGTAGAATTTGGTTAAAGATTCGAACTCACCAGAGATCCCAGAACGTCCTATTTAATCCACAAAAGTTACATTTATATATATGTATGAAGGCTTTTTAAAGTTGACGTCATAGGTCATATTTTTTCGAGACTTGTTATCCTAAATGTCACTCTCAACTTATTACCAAATTCTTTTAACTTTAATTGAATGGTCAGGGCACATGTTTTTTCAATACTGTGTTCATCTCACGTGGAGATCATCTGATCTGCCTTGAGATCGTGCTGTCATGTTATACAGTTTTTCTGAGCAGCAGCTCATGTGATTAAGTCATAAACTTCAGTTGAACTTATTTTTTAGGCTTTGTGTAAAATGCCGTCACCCCCTAAACATCGATTTGAATAAAAATATCTACGGCCGCTATTTTGCCTGAAGTAAAGATGGTGAAGGCACCTTTAAGTATTGTGCATCTTAAAATAACTGTTCTTTACGTAAAGGTCACTTTAAATACAATTGCAAGTAAGCAGATTATATTAAGTTAATTATTTTCCTTTTTCCATCGAACAGGGTTAAAAGTGTCATGTCCTTTTCACAGTTCAAAGCTAACTTTCCACCAATTTTCAGCCACACTTGTACAGCCGTTAGTGAGTTATAAAATATAGTGTAACTAACACGACTTTCTTTTCTATGTTAAGGTTTAAGAGATTGAATAAATGGGTAGAAATTCACCAAATTGAGTTAACTAAAATAAATTGAATTATAGTACATTTTATCCAGACATATACATAACATATTAAGTTTAAGTTTTCTGCAAGATGAACGAATTGTAGAAATATAATATAAAATTAATAACCGAAATTAATCTGGCCCGTAAAAAATATTACGTTGTTTATACTTTTAATCTTTGTATAAAATTAGTCAAAAGGTTTGGCAGTTTCTAGTAATTTTTTACTTTGCAATTCTAATTACTAACTAGTCTTCAGCGTGTTGCGAACGTAAAAAAATAACTGGGTTCAACTTATTATACTTTTTTGTAGCTTATAAGCTGCTTGATTTTGAAACTTTTTATCAGGACATCATAAATAAATTACAGACATTTAAATTACAAGTTTTTCAGGGAACTGAAAAGCTTTTCAAAGTTTTTTTAGAGTAATTTAGTCCCACAGTATTCTGTATAAGCAGAAATGACTAATTGGGCGATCACAATCCAATTGCATTATGACAGTTAATATATGTAATTTTCAGGATTTTTCATAAAATAAATAATAATTTGTGTTACTTTGAGTTAATCAATTACAATTAAATAAGACTAGAAGACCTGGCGAACTTCGTATCGCCCTATAATCAAGAAATACCTATTACGTTTTTTTATTTATATTTTTTGAGTTTACCTGTAAGCCATAAATCTCCGTGTTTTGAAGTGCGACAGAATGATTGACATATTAGTTAGTTGTCAAATCTAATGTCAAAGAAAACGTTTGTATGGGAAATAGAAAAGAGCTGTTTTTATGGTTTTCCCAGTAATAAATCAATTTTTTTCAGCGTTTATACCTTCCCTAAACGTCCACGAACATTTGAAGACTAAGATAAGATAAATCCGTTCAGTTGTTCTCGAGTTTTAGCGAGACTAAGGAACAGCAATCCATTTTTATATATATAGAAGATTAGATAATTTACTCAGTACTAAAAACACTAGAATGTAAAAAGACTGTAAAAAATATGGATACTTAAAATTAAAAAAAAATATTCATCCTATTTCTTATTTGTCAATTTTGTAAAAAAAACGATTGCTTTTAGAAGCACAAGTACTAGGATATCATAACTCAGTCGGGATAGCGCAATGAAAGTGAAAGTTTTGATTTACATGTCCCACCAAATGGCCTGTTGCATCTGGCTTAATACTACTTTCGCTTTTATTCCTCGTTGAAACTATTACTTTCAGTGTCCTATTCTCCTGGTATCTGTACACTGGATGCAACAGAATGAACAGAAGCACTGAGTGTATTGAATGAAGTGATTGAAGTTTGAAGCACGGTTTGGTTTGTTTTCCACTAAAGTCAGACAAGGTCGAAAACCTAGCGAGAGAAAGAGAGGGAAAGGATACTTTGAATAGAAATTAATTTTATCCATACGTTTTAATGAAACTAAAACTATAATTTTCTATATTTTGTAGATAAAGTTAAGCCATGGAAATTAATAAATATAATCAACCCATCTATAAAACAATCCACCTCGATTACCCTTAATACTTTTATTAGGCGTATTTAGTTACTTTTTAAGCTACGATTCAGGTTCCGTTAACGATTTTTATTATTTTAAAAATTTTGTTACTAGAACACTGTGGCTTGATTTTAAAATAATTTGTAACAAAAGAAAACATTCACTACTTTTTACGCTTGGTTAGACTCCACTTGTAATTTCATTATCTAAAATATGTATTTACTTATGCTCATTCTTATTAAAGAATAATAGAGCTGTAATAATTAAAGAAAAAAAAACAATTTTTGTGCATTCTTCTCTGTATATCATATAAAATCAAGTATTAATGTCCTAGGTGCTGAAAAATTTAACCAAAATTATAATAATGAATTTAAGGCAGTTAAGTTATTTTATGAACATGAATAATGTTATTAAAATTTTGAAAATTTTCGACCGTCTCATTAAATATACCAGGAAATATAAATAGTACATTTCTTGCACCATTCATTAAGTTAAAGTAACACTAAAAATAATTCTTATTTTTTTTTACAAAATCATATTCTGCAAGTTGACAAATGTGTCGCCGAATTTTTGGTTACATCATCTATTTTATGACATTAAAATTTATAGAAAATTGTATTTTAATATAAATTTTGTATACAATAAAAAACAACAAAAATTATATAAATAATTGTAATTGTCAACATAAAATGTAATAAAATAAATTTAAAAAGAATAAAAAATTTACTTTTTACATGATATTTTTGTACGAGAAAAATAAATTATCTGTAAAGTTTGGCTCCTGTTAGACAGTTGGAGGAAAGACAGTTTTTCAGACAACATTTTAAAAGTTTAAATTATTGTTTTTTTTTATTATTAGCTTTTCTCGTTTCAAAGTGTGGGCTACCAGGAGAATATAAATTAGAAGGAGCTTGCTCCAATAGAAATGCAAACTTTCAGGGGCGTGTCCATACAACTTGTAGATACACTCATGTACATTTAAACGAATTTGTTTTTGTTAATGAATGCGGGCTCCAAAAAGTTGCAAATGAGATGTTTACACTTTTTTTTTATTTCTTAAAACTTCTAATATATGGAACACATATTTAAGTTGATCCGAACCTTTTAATTTCCCAACTCACCCGACATGACATTAAAGCTATGATATTTGTTTTTTTACTCTTATTTAAAAGTTTTATGTAGTAAGAATCAATCTAACATGTAAATGAAGATTAGATTTACAAATATATATTCTGGTTTGGTTTCTATGTAATATATTCTATCTATAATTTTATCATGGTCCATAGCAGAAATATAACATATATAATATATAAGTAATTTTCCATATTAAATACATATAAAATACCATATCACAATCCGTAGCAACTAATTTATGTTTACTCTTAACTCTTTTGATTTATGTTATCCTGGTACTTATGCTTAAGGTTTTACGTAATAAACGGAACTTTGTATTACGTAAAGTTTGATTATGTTGGCCATTTCGGCATTATTTTCAATAAATATATTAAAAAAGTGCATACTATTTTCAAAATTAAACGTATAAAATTACTATTGTTTCTTCTTCGGCATCTTCAAACTATTAAAGTTTTTAACATTGTGGGATTCAAAAAATTATTTTTAATTTATATTATTTTTTTA